TCTATATCACAGCAACTTCAGAAAATCATTTCTTTTGTATCTTGTATGACTGAGCCACGAGTTCAGCAGATTATCTTCCCACTTTATCCTGTTGCTTTTTTTTTTTTTTTTTTTAATAAGGATCTACAGGGTCCTTATGTAGATCAGACTCGTAGTGATCTGCCTGTGTTCAGCCTCCCAAGAGCTGGGATTACAGGTGGGCGCCACTACGCCCAGTCTAATTGCTCTCTCAATTTGCAGGTAGGCCAGGGACTGAACCCTGGCCACTGTGCTCTGCCCAAGCAGGTGCTTGTGCCAGCCCCCCCACCTTTTTTTAAATTTATGTATTTGGTACAAGGTCTTACTATGCAGCTTGGACTTGTTATCCTCTTGTTTTCAGCCTTCCCAGCACTGGGATTACAGGCACGTGCCACCATGCCTGGTCTCAGTGGCTGGTTTAATTCTCCCCAGGGGCAGGGCCAGTGCAGCATATGGTGTCGGGTATCGAACCCCTGCTCCCTGTACTTGCCTAAGCAGGCACTTAGTCACCTGAGCTATCTCAGTAGGCCTTATCTTGTTTCTTTGTTCTTGAGGCCACATTTACACTGTGCTTCCAAATCAAGCTGCCTCTGCTAGAGGACTGTGAGTTACATTTGCACTGCTTTTGATTAAGTAAATAATTTCAATAACAGAGACAGAACTCCAAAGAGCTTTTTACCCTTCAATTTGTTGGAAGGAAGGTTTAGGTATCTGTTCACTAAAATTTTTATAGGGATTTATTTGCCTATCTACATTTGTACTCTGAAGCAAGCAAAAGTACTGTTAGGAATTAGGGTGCAGGAACATCATGGAAGGTGTGAGTTAGGGAGAGTGGCTCTGCCATCTGCAGCTGGGCGGCCCTCTGCTCCCTGCCCAGTGGCCACCCAGCCACTGGCAATGCAGATCCAGCCCGGCCTCCCTTGTCTCCCCGCAGGGCTTCTTGGGGACCGAGAGGGTGAAGACCTCTCAGATTGCTGTGGCTCTGACCGCGTGAGTCCTTAACGTCTTCTCCACGCATGAGCCCAGTAGGGTTGGGCAGCTAATGAAGGTGGCAGTACCAATGGGCAGCACATGGTGCTCAGCGCAATGTGCTATGAGACTTTTGGTGATTTTAGCAGAGCAGAGATTGGAGGTGGAATTTGCTCTCTGTGATCTATTGTGTAAGACCCAAGACCTATGTTCTGAGCTTCATGTTTATTTAGAGTGTAAACGATGATACTAACAAAGTGAAATGGCCTGGCTCTGGTAACTTCTGGTAAAAAGAAAAAGCAAGAAAGCAAAGAAAAAAAAATGATGTCTTAACATAAATTGAAGGGCAGATGTACCCACAGCCAAGTAATTCTATCATTCTTCAGATGGTTTTTTGTGACATCATAAACCACAAAACCAACTTTATGTCACTAAAATTTCAGCATGGAATTACTTCTTTAATAGACTTATAATTTTGGTACATTTTAATGCATAATTTTAAGAAATCTTGAGCACAGCAATTTTTAGTCCTCAACTGTTCTTTATACCAATGTTCATGAAGCTCCCACTAAGGCTACTCTGTCACCACATGCATTCCACACTTCAGTTTCTTACTTCTTGCTTTCCTAGGGTTTATCACATTATTTTCCACCCCAACAGCAGGTATAAGTATCAAATTATTTTAGGGTAGCTGGGGACACTGGGGACAAAACACCTATTTTTCTCTCTCTCTTTTACACTTGACCCACTATAGCCATTTTCTATTTTGTTTTCAATGTTTTGACATTTAAAAAATGGGGAGATGGCTCAGTAGAATAAGCACTTCCCTGGCAAGCACAAGGGCCTGAGTTTAATCCCTGGTTCTGCCAAAAAATAAATAAATAAATAAAAATTTAAAAAATAAGTAAAAGATCTGAGAGCGGAAGGAAATAAAGAGTAATTTCTGCCCATGAGGACTGGTCATCTGTGATTACTAGGACAGCACACGGGGCCAGTTTCACATGAAGCAACTATGGACAGTTACCATGGTCCTGCGCAGCCCCTTCCAGAGTGGTCATTCTGTCACAATTCTCATAGAATCAAGGTGTACATACATACACACACACACACACACACACTCACACACAGTAACTGTGAAGTAATGGAGATGTTAGTTTGATGGTAGTAACTAGTTTACAGTGTATACAGTTATCAAACTGTCACAATGTATACTATACTTGCCAGTGACCAGCATACTCAGTAAAACTGGCAAAGAAAAGAAGTAGTGAAACATGTACAAAATCCTCACAGTGAAAGAAATTGTTAGCTACTACAAACAGGTACTAATAAAAGCTCTGAAAAAGCATTATGTTGTACACAATGTATATGAATTTGTCATTTAAAAATAAAGCATGTTCCAAACCCCCCCCCAAAAAAGAAAGCTAAATAAATGTAGACTGCATAAAAATGGGACAAATGAAGGTAGACTATTGGCAAATTTGTTTGCTTTCTGTAAATTGGTGATTTTTGAGACTTGAAACCCTGAAACTCAAGATTATCTCCAAATTAATTGGAGACATAAGATACATTTTATGGCACAGCATAGCAGAATGTTAATATAATTTTGTGCTATGGTTGGCCTAAGCAAAATATCTCCAGCTTGCTCAGGCTAGTAGAGTTTGTCCCTCCTCCATTTAGGAAGTCAGGTATTGGCGGTGACCGGAAAGAAGCAGCCATGCACAAAATGTGAAGATTTTGTCTTGGCCTCTTTTCTAGCTGAAAAGAGCAGAATGGACCCTTTATTGCCTCCCCTAATAACTGGTGGGAATAACAAGAAATCGCCGTGTGCTCCCTCTCAGGAGGAATCAGCTGGCTGAACACTGGCCATGGTGCCCCACAGGGCCTGCCTGGTGTCGGGCCTGGAGGGTGCTCTCCGGCCTCCCAAGGAGGCTTCCCCCTTGTGGCTCTGCAGCTCTGCGGGGCCAGCAGTCTGATAGCCTGCTGCCCTGTGCTCACTTATCTCTGCAAAATGACTCAGCCGTGGACTCGAATCACCCTGTTTGGTTTAATCGAACATGTAATTGAGGGATATTATATTAGCAATTACATATAGCCAAGAAAGCTCTGGTTATTCAACTAAATATACAGTTTTATAAATTCATTTTTATACAAATGTGGCTCTGACATCCAGATCATTTAAATGAAGCAGAGGCCTCCCACAGCTGTCCTTCTTTAAACTTTGAACAATGCTCTTAGAAGTCATGCCTGGTAAGATCCAGCTCTGCTGTACTGATTTAGGAGTAGAGCAGTTTACCTTTGCGGCACTTTGTTTGCATGTGCTTGTCTCCTAAACTGAGGGAAGCCAGTGTCACCTCCCACCTTCAGAGGTGAACTGATTTGCCACTTGCGACCCATGACTTGTAAGTAGCATCCCTTAAATTGTGTATGCTTGTGTTTGGTCATTGGCCTCCTCTGTGTGTGTGTGTGTGTGTGTGTGTGTGTGTGTGTGTTTCAGATCCAACATTCTCAAAAGGCTTTTTGTGTTTGGTTTAGTGCCAGCACTTCGAACATCGCCAGGATAGAAGAAATGGAGAGGCTGCTGAAACAGGCTCATGCAGAAAAGACCCGACTGCTGGAATCCAGGGTAAGCTCAGTGCCTTCCTGACACAGGACTGCGGCCCTGGCTGGGCAGCGAGGAGCCCACAGTTGTGCTCCACCCCTCCTGCAAAAGCTTCCCAAGTGTTGTGATCCTGAAGTAGTCCCTCGGCCTCACTCAGCCTGCTTTGTTGTTTGAAAAGTAATTTCTATAGCTTTTTACTGTGCTGCAGTTCCCCACAACTTGAAAGAATGCACAGGGTACGCAGGCAGCGCCGGCGCAGGCTGAGATGGATGTCCGCACTGTTTCCCCATTTTGGCCAAGGAAGTGGGAAGAATGTGCCTTCATGCTTTCCCCCTTCTCAGCCTTGTGAGCTGCACCACTGTGAAGCTAAAACCCCACGTTGTTGTGACTGTATTACATGCTGTAGCCGAACTTCCTTAGGAATCCCCCCAATGCCTCTGCATCCGCTCCTGAAGGAACCTCCTTTCCTTCCCCGACTTCCTCGTGTGCTTCCTCCATGACCTTCAGCCAGGCAGCTGCAGGCAGGAACAGGAATTGGGAGGCTGGTGGCCTTCAGCTGGAGGACAGCAGACCGAGAGAAGGCCAAGCCTCGTGGCCAGGGTTGAGTGGCAGCTTGTCGAGCTGTTATTAAAAATGCAGGAGTTGCGACCTTTGATATAAAATGACTGAATGTAATCACAAACTGGATTTCATAAAACCGATTTCATTTTATTTTATTTATTTATTGCTGTGAAGGAGCTCAAATTTGCACATGCTAGGCAAGAGCTCAACCACTACTGAGCTGCCTCCCAGCCCAAGACCAATATTTGTTATTTAAATGTAATGATTGTATATTGCGTTTAATGAGTTTGGAAGCTTTGCCAGAGGTGATTATGGGTTGTGTTAGTCTAGGGTATATATTTTCAGAGACTAGACTACAAACCAAAAATTAGTGAGGATTCTGTTTTTGTTAATAGTTGGAACCATTTTTAGTATGACCAGCACATCTTAATCTCTTCTGCACAATGATATTTAGGAACGGGAAATGGAAGCCAAAAGACGAGCTCTGGAAGAAGAAAAACGACGCCGAGAAGTCCTGGAAAAACGTCTGCAGGAAGAAACTAGCCAGAGGCAGAAGTTAATAGAAAAGGAAGTAAAAATAAGGGAGAAACAAAGGGCACAGGTTGGTTGATCGAGCTAACTGCATGCGTATCGGTTGCCCTCTGGTGGTCATTCTGTAAGAGCCAGTCTGAGGGTGACTTCCTTGGCCTTGTGCTGGTGTTTGCTGGAACAGTTAAGGAAAATTTTGTTCATGTGCAAAGCATGTGAATTGATTTCCCAGTTCCTAGGGAACTACAGACCAGATTTCATCTCTTCTCGGGAGGCACATCCCGGTGGTAGAGGCACATTTTCTTCTACCACTTCTCTGTAGTACCTTGGAAAGGAGAATGGTTTCTGATTAGTTTTGAAAAACACCATTGGGTTGGCTGCTGAAAACAGGTACAAGGGCTCGAGAAAAACCTTAAGTGAAGGAATGAAAGATTCTACTAAGCCACCTTTCAGGAATAAGTAGGTCAAGCCTGGACAATTCTACCAGCCCAGTTTCTTGGTGGCGGTATTTTCTTTTCTTTTCTGGCCACTACATTGTCGTGTGTGTCCCCTTTGCTATAATCCACAGCATATGTGCACAAGGTTACTGAGCGCAGGCAAAATTCAAGAAAGCCACACATTTTGTTTAACTTCCTGTCTTGCGCATTCAGTGTTTGCAGTCTCGATTTGGTCCCTATAGCTGCTTAAATTATATGCATTTTCAGAGGATAAGATGAAATTTTACTAACTACTGCATAAATTAAAGCTTGAATTCACTTTATTAAAACTGGTCATTTATCTGGTAGATTCAAAGCCACAAGTTGTGCATTGTCCCTTCCTCTTTTCAGTCACTGGTGGTCTGATGGTACAGCAGTGAGCGCCTAGCATGTGCCATCTGTCTATAGTGAGGTATCACAGAATCAAAGGTGAAATATGGATAAGTAGAAAGTAAAACTGTTCCTTTTCTTTTGTCCTTTTGAGGCAGGGTCTTGCTATGCAGCTCAGGCTGGCCTGGAGCTCACTTTGTAGCCCAGGCTAGTCTCAAATTTGCAACGATCCTCCTGCCTCACTTTTCAGGCCTGGCTGGGATTCCAGGCGTGCACCACCACGCCTGGCAACTTTTCCATTTTATTGCATCATGCCTAACTTTTGCAAATTGATTCCCAGTTAAAACCATCTAGGCCTATTTAGTATCCAAAGCCAAACCAAGAATCACGAGTCTATTTTAATCCTGATTACAAGTTTTACCTCCAAGTATATGATTAGATCATTTTCCCCAGGCAAAGGGGTGGGGTTATTTAATAAGATAAAACACCATTTTAGAACTATTCTCCAAGGTTATATATGCTTCCTGGATTAGATGAATGTTGGCCTTAGCCATGCGTAAGGTGAAAGACATCTAAATATAACTCCAGCTTCTAGGTTTGGGCATTTCATTGTATTAGATCCAGCTTCAACTCCACTTCTAACTTTATTTGGCTACATTTTTTAAAACATATATTCTTGCCTTCAGTTCCTGATAGAGAGTACATAAGCTGGGGATCTTTGGGGATTGTGCTTACCAAATAGTGTTAGCTTATCATACTGTGTCTGGGTTTACTCAGTGAGAACTGTTGCTATGTTGTCATGGAGGAAGCTTCCGAAAACCTTACGGCGCAACCCTCAGCTGCAGGGAACTGTCCAGATAAGCTTACCCCCCACCTGCCCTCCATGTGCAAAGCACTAAGTATCTCTTTTAAGTTAAAATGAATGACATTTTACTATTTGCTCATCTCCCGTCTCAAGGAATACAATCTAGTGTCCTGAGTTTATCGGTCCTCTCCCATATTACAGCATCCTACTCAAAATACTATCTACTTTTTTGATATCCAGTTGGGTAAGCGCTTTTTTATTGTGAGCAGCCACAAATACATGGCCATTTTATTTAATTTTGGTAAGGGAACTTGTATTTAAGACCTTGTGCTTGCCAGGCAGGCGCCGTACTGCTGAATGATATCCACATCTTACATAGCCATTTTAAAACTTAAACTTTACATTTAGTTCCAGTTTCTAAACATCTGTAACTTGAAATGAAGCAAATAATCAACTGTGGGTGGCTGGACTTTGCAATTTTTCAGGCTCGTCCTCTGACGCGCTATCTGCCTGTGCGGAAGGAGGACTTTGATTTACGGAGCCACGTGGAGACTGCTGGCCACAATATTGACACCTGTTATCACGTATCAATCACAGAGAAGACTTGCCGAGGGTTCCTCATCAAAATGGGTGGAAAAATTAAAACTTGGAAAAAACGCTGGTTTGTTTTTGATCGGAATAAGCGAACATTTTCTTATTATGCAGGTGGGTGATAAAAAAGTGTTATATATTCAAATCTGTTACAGAGCAAAGCCAAGTGAGATTAAGTATAAATAGATAGTGTGGTAAATAATAAAACTAATAGCAATATTAGGTTTGTAGGTGTACATTATTTTATAATCATATCATGTAGTTCAATATGATAGGAATTTTCTTTTTACAATTAAAATGCTACTTTAACAAGTATGGACTAGTCTCTAGTTCTGAAATTTTTTCTTTTATTTATTCATTTGGTACAAGGTCTTGCTACACAGCTCAGACTCCTAGTGATCCTCCGGTCTCAGCCTCCCCAGCACTTGGATTACAAGCATGCACCATCATGCTTGGTTTTGATGGCAGGCTCAGTGTGGAGCTGACACAGCATATGTTACAGGGGATCGAACTCAGGTCCTTTCACCTGCCAGGCAGGCACTTAAGTCACTGAAATGTCTCCCCAGCCCCTGAAGTAAACATTAATGAAATTTATTTTTAACATTAAAATATATCCCTTTAAATCACAAGGCTATAGAAAAGGGTTTTGTTATTTATTTATTTGGGACTTGCGGGTTAGCTCAGTTGTTTAAGGGGCCTGCTTGGGCAAACTTAGGCGCAGGGGACCGCGGTTCGATCCCTAGCTACGCATGCTGCATCGGGTCCACCCTTAAAGCAGTCTGAGCTAGTCAAAAAAAAAAAAAAAAAAAAAAAAAAAAATCCTTTATTCATCTATAAATCCTATTTAAGTTACGTTCCATAAAGCCATACAACTAGCTGACATTCCTAGCTTACAGTCCTTCATCCCTTCATCAAGAGAGTCCATTAAAAAATGTACACACACATCAGAAAAAAAAAAAACTTGAATATTTTCCTACTAAATTTAGTGAGACATCATGAGATTAATATCAGTTTCCTTTGACCTCTGGGATTACAAGAGGTGCTCAAGGTGGTGGCCATGAGCCTCCAGACATTTCTTTGTCCAGCAAACTGCTGCTTGGGTAACCTCAGTCATGGCGATGGCTGCACGTGAATTTTCAGTTTCTTCTCTAAGGGCTGGCAGTGTAGTGGGTTTTTCTACAATACAGCATCCTCTAGGGTCTCCCATATGAGGGTAACATCATCCACTGAAAATAATCATAGTAATGTTTTCTTTTCCTGAAGTGTGCACACAGTAGTTTGGCAGACTCTGTAATTTACCAATTAGCATAATCTTTTAAGCACAGAGTAAAGTTAACCAGTAAACTAATGAACAAGTAAGTATAAAATATCTGAAACATTTTTGGATTCCTAAGGGCTGAATTACAAGAAACACTTCCTACTAAATCATAGAATACAAGAATATATTAGTGCAGCTGGCATACTTCTAAGAAGCTCTTGCTTCCTCTGGGAGTGTATGAAGGATAGATCCACTCTTAGCTCAGCTGTCTCCCCAGCTTGGGAAGAGGAGTGGTGTCTAGCAGGGATTATGCTTCAGGGCTGTGGGGCCAGCATTTGAACATCATGATAAATGCAATGAATATAAGATAAGAGTCCAATCAATTTACCTGTGCCATGAGGTCAGTTAATACCAATGAGAAAAAGGAGGATGAGAAATCTGGATGCCCATGGAGTAAGCACATGCTGCCAGGGAGCCACAGAGTTAGGGAAGAAATGAGCAGGGGAATGCCTCCTTTCCACAGGGGCTTTGGTAGGTAACTTGCACATAGGCAGAAGTAAGTAGCAGAAGCAGATGGCCTGTTTGTTACAGGTCCTTGCTGTTCCTCTCTAGGGCTTTCTCATTTGGACTTTCATGAAAAAAAAGATGCCTCATTAATAAATCTAATTTGTGTCTGCTAGGTGCACTTTTTGGTTGTTTTGAGACAGTTTCTCACTATGTAGTACAGGCTGGCCTTGAACTCACTTATGTGGCCCAGGCTGGCCTTGAACTCATGTCAATCCTCCTGCCTCAGCCTCCCCAGTGCTGAGATTACAGGTGTGCACCACCATGCCCAGCTGCTAAGAGCATTTTTAAAGAATTGGACAAAATAGCTTCCCTCCTCCATGCTGCTCTTCTCTGTGAGCCCCACTGGCCAGGGCCTATTTGGCACTCTGATCACTTTCTCCAAACCCATCCTTCTGAGCCATGTAAATGTATGTTTCCTGTTAAGAATTTTGGTGACTAGTCTTTGATTTTTGAAAGTACCAAAACCCTTTTCATCATAGGAAAGATTATTCAGAACCTTCAAACAAAGCAGATGAATTTATAGCTTGTCAACTTTTGTATCTGATGCAACTGAGTAGTGAGACCTAGTTAGCCAGGTGTTGCCATGGGGCCCTGTTTATCACCGTTTCCCTTCAGCTTAGCTGCCCCCTTCCCTACCCAGAACTCCCTAGAAGGCCACAATCACATGCAGATCAGTCCTGTCATCTAGATGGCAGCTCCGTATGGATGTGGTCCTGTAGGAGCCTCATCAGCTTCTCAGAGAGGGGCATGGCTGCTCTGTGTGTGTGTGTGTGTGTGTGTGTGTGTGTGTGTGTCCTTTCAGCAAAGGACTGCTGAAAGCTAAAGGCTCGGGCCACTCTGTTGCTCATAGCCCCAGCCTCTGTCCTTAGCCTCCTGTCTGTTAATCTGGAGCTTTAGGAGCATCTCTAAACAGAGTTAAGGCACAGGATACATGTCTGAAAATTAAGTGGCTTATGCTGCCCAGAGACACGGTGACTGATAGCATTATTTCATTCTTGTCCGGCAGCATGGTTGGTCCTCTTAGTTTACAGTGTGGGCCTACGTTCTTCAGTGTGCACTCTCATGGATAAAATGCCCTTAAAATGTTTCATTCCCTAATTTTCTATCTGCTTGAAACACTGTCAAGACTTACTTTCATTTCCAGATTTAATTTTATATGTGCTCTGAGGAATTAGTGTCATCCCTTTGATTATTGCAGGATCCTTTTCAGAAAATGTTTGAGACATGCAGTGACCTTCTCTTTCATTAAAACTAGTGGAAACCCACCAAAGGTGCTGTAATTAAAACAGTATTTTCCAAGCAAGAGCAAAACAAAGACCTTTGGCCCTTGGTCAGATAATGTAGAGAGATGCTAGATGAAGTGCACCTAAACATATTGTTTATATTCTGTGGAACTTTTCTGGGACATTATGTTTCACACTTGCTTTTTATCACTACTGGGGAAAAGGAACATTCACTCTGTAAAAAAATAAAAAGCAAATCTGTGTAATGCTAGTCAATACATTTCTCATGACAGTTCTGCTTTCTCCCATTGTGAAGCCTGAAACACTCTAATTTTTCTCTCATTTGTTATAACAGGCCTAGCTGTCACTTCAATGGCTATACAGACTTCATTGTGGCTGTTCTGTAATTAAATCAGTCCCCTCTTAAACTCAAGTATATCTTTTGTAGCTGTATGCCATAAAAAACACACAGATCCTTGTGCATTTGCATACGCAGCAGTAGATCTTATACAGTAAGGTGGGGAAGTGGAATTGCTGAGCAAGAGGATTTTTGCATTTGTTAAATTTTGTCTATTCTACTAATTGCTTTCCAAAAGAGGCTTTGTCATTTGTGTCACCACCTCAGGGATAGGGTAGAATCTTTCTCCTTGCCTCTTCATATACACTTTTAAATGTGTTGTTCACATGCATTATGATTCCTGCAGTTTTAATAATAAAATATTTCATGAATTCAGTACATCAGAATGGTGCTGTTGATTTGGTTAGTGTCTTATGGTAAATCTGATGAAATATTTAGAAACAGGTTAGAAGGTGCTGCACTAAAATAGTACTGTAGGTTGGGGAGATAGCTTAGTGGTCTAAGTGCCTTCCTGGCAAGCACAAGGACCCGGGTTCAATCCCCAATACCACATGCTTTGCTGGACCTGGAGGCCCAGGCATGCTGTGCTGGCCACTGAGCCAGGGTGTGGTAGTGCACGTCTGTAATCCCAGAGCTGGGGGAGGCTGAGACAGGAGAATCACTACAAGTCTGAGCGGCATAGTGAGACCTTGTACTAAATAAATAAAAGATTTTTAAAAATTTAAAAGATAGTATTGTCATGAAGCTTTGTTGATAAAGGGAAAAAGTGAAGCATGCTGAACAAATTTGATGGGAAAGAAAGGTAAGTAGACTATCCTAAGTTACATTTAAATATTTAAAACATTTTAAAATTTCATTACCACTATTATGCACATTAATATTTCCATTACAAAGAGAGTCTTGAAGAATGTGGCAAAATATTTTATATGGGTGGCAGTAATGTTTCTAATTCATGTGCTAGTGTGACAGTCATTAGTTCTGGATTGTCTTTTGCCTGCTAATTTGCTTAAGAGTCTCAGACAAAGTGGTTTGGTCTCTTTGATTTGGGTGTGGGAATTTCATAGTTTTCTGTTTTGTTTGTTTGAATATAGGACAGGGCTAATGTACTACCCTAGGTTATCTGAATTAATCTTAGATAATTTAAATACTACATAAATACTTTCATGATAATAATTAGTATAAAATTATAATTTTCCTGTCCCTCAATGGTGATAAAGTATTTAATGATGCTCATCTATCTTTGCAGACAAGCATGAAGCGAAGTTAAAAGGAGTAATATACTTTCAAGCCATTGAAGAAGTATATTATGATCACCTCAAGAATGCTAATAAGGTAAACACTGGTTTGTTAAATTCTTACAATTTGAATGCATACTTAAGGTAGGAAAAAGGTACTTTTGAACTTTAGATTTGCCATTCTCAAGTAAAGATAGATATGATCAGAGTGCTGGAAAAGTTAACAGTGAAATAGGTAGGGCAGCTCACTCTTTCTGGGGAGAAGCCATCAGGCAGGGAATATTCTGGATGCACTGGTTTGGGAGACCTTGAAGAGTGACTACAAGCATTGTGGATGGGAGCTACTATATAGTTGTGAGGGAATCTTAGTTTAGTAGGATCTGAACAGGGCACACTGTAACTATTGCTATTTCAAGTAGCCCTTGTCAGATAGGTACTATGCTTTCCACATTAGCCAGTAACAATTAGTGAGCTCTGCTGAGGTTTCCTGTGGTAGAAAGGCTGGACACATGGTCATTCCTTTTTTTTTTTTTTTTCGGAATCAGGGATTGAACTCAGGCCTTTGTGCTTCGAAGGCAAGTGCTTATTCTACTGAGCTATCTCCCCAGCCAACATGATTATTCCTAACAAGGGCACAGGGGTGGGGTTATAACTGAGCAAATGCAGTGCCTACAGAAATTTCTGTCAGTGGAAACTTTTCAAAAGGAAGAAACTTTAACATATGTCTGTTATTTCATGCTCTGATTTTAATTTATTTTCCTGTGTTGAATTTCAGAGCCCTAATCCGTTGCTCACCTTTAGTGTCAAGACACATGACAGAATCTATTACATGGTGGCCCCATCACCGGAAGCCATGCGGATCTGGATGGATGTTATAGTTACTGGGGCAGAAGGTTACACTCACTTCTTGTTGTAGTGAATTGAAGCAATAGTCCACTTCAGGGCAGACTGCAATAATCTCTTACAATAATGAAGCCATATTCAATCCCAGATGGAAAGACCCAGCAAACCCATGCCCCAACTGTATGCACTCAGAACTCCTTTCATAATGAGAAGCTGTTTGTAGAAAGAAAGAAAGAAGGAAGAGAATTTTAATTTGAAGCTTGATCATAAATGGTAAAAGAATTGAAGCTCCTACAAGAAACACTATTTTGAAAAAAATCACTAAAAGAACATTTCTTAAAAATCATTTTTTACCAGTTGGCTTTGGTGAAATAAACCAGTTTACAAAATGTCTGTATATGTGTACTTGCAAATATGGAATTACTGTAGCACCCAAATTGTTGGCATTGACACTATGGTAATCAACGGACTTTTCTTTTTTTAAAAGTATAATTTTACAAAGATAAGCAAATAAAGACTTGGAGAGGAATATGCTTTAGGAGTTTTACCTTTAGGAGTACTTTTTAAGTACTCCACCAACACCAAAGATTTCACATGACTTCTGTTTGGTAGTAGCTTAAAGTAGTTTAGAGAAATAGTGATCCTTTATATTTTAAAACAGTATTTTGATGCCACCAGGTACCAGGAAATTGAATTCTTCACAATAAACTACTGTGCATATATAGCAAAACACTTTTTGTAAGAGAAAAAAGAAAAACCTGTATTTTAGAAAAAAGCCATCTCAGCCAAACTACACATCACATTGGGCAATTTTAAATAAAGAGAATATTTGATGTGAAGAGCTTGTTTGTGCATGATGTCTCCCTTCTCACTGCTGAGAATGAAGGCAATAGCTAATTTCCTTTAGATTGGCTCATCTGTCTTTGCTATAGAGCAGACCTATCAGTTATACCCTCACATGATATAGCTGTGAAATCATCGTTCTGTTTTCACCAAAGAACACAACAGTTAAAATAGCTATATGCAGAGATGATATAAAGGCAAAATTCAACTTAACTTTTTTTTGTATTTTTAATGTCTTATAATTAGACTTGTTTTTAAATTAATTTTTGTGAATGAAATGACTTCAGGCAAATCTTCTATGTATTTTCAAATGTCACTTACCCTTTTTTTGTGTTTTGTGTGTTTGCAAGTATGAATGTACTCTCTCCTAAAACATGGTAAATGACTAGAGGCATAAAATAATGACTTTATTTACAAGGTTAAATGATTAAAAGTGTGTCTAAAATTTTGTCAGGCCTGACTAGGTACAATTTTTTAATGTCTGAAATATATTTTGTATTCATGTATACATGTTGCCAATAAAATTTGCAACTGGATGACACAAGATCTTACTTGAACAATGAAGAACAAAAATCATGATTGTAAAAGATCTTTTTAAAAATCGGATTTTGCAGAGATCACCCTTAAACACTGTAATGATCTCAGAAAATGAAATGCAGTAGTTAAAAGTTTGCTGGTTAAAAATAGTTTTCTGTACTGTGCTTTCTCCATAGGATCGTAAGGGTATTCTAATCAACTTGCATGTTGTAAGCCTTTTAAATATGTGTTAAACATATTGAATTTGGATTAAAATATTGACCTGATTTCACATGCTAAAGTAAACTCTGATTTGGAAATACCTCCTATGACTTGATGCAAGATTGACTAATCAGCAAAGTCAACTGTAGAATTCTGAGGTTGTGTTGTGACAGTATGACTTGTGGCTTATAAAATGGAGTAATTAGAAATATTTAGGGTCACATACTTATTGCTTAAAAGATGTGAACCTGAAAACCTTTTTTTTTGCTCTGAAAACAGTCATGACTAGGGATTTTGGCTATTGCCTCTTATCTGATGGAGAAAACATGCAAATGTGAAGTGACCCTCAGAGGTTCTACTTTGTGGGGACCTCATTTGTTTCCCTGAACCAAGACAGATTCTGAAAGAGAAACCGCTCTCAGTAATAGGTCCTTTCAGCCCTAGGTTAATGGAAGCAACAGACAATCATGCACAGAGGGGCCGGAGAGATGACTCAGTGGAATAAGCGCTTCCTTGCCAAGTGCAAGAGCCCAAGTTCAATCCCCAGTTCTGAAAAAAAGAGAGAGAGAAAAAAAAAAGCACAGAATGCAAACAAATCAGTCTATTTCAAGCCCATCACTAGTTGGCACTAGCTTCTTCATTTGCCATGAGCCACAACCATTCCTGATTTGTTTGACTGGTAAGAAAAGATGAAGAAAATGATCCATCTGCTAGTTGTGTGCGTGTGCGTGTGTTTTTTGTGTAGGTGGGTGTTGCTTTTCCCATAATAACAAGTAACTAGATTTTTCATTTATTGCACATAAAATGTAAGAAGACCTACAAAAATAAAGAGAAAGCAAAGGAGGGATGACTAAAAATATTCTCACTTTTCCAAAACTAAAAGAAGTGTTATATTAAGATGCAGGGTATTTTGAGGATATTAACTGGGTATGATTTTGTAATTCAGTCAGTCTCTTTATAGGCACAAGTCAAAGGGACAGCTGGCAAAACTGTTCAACATCTTGTGATGTCCTGAAACCAAGTCATTATATGTCTTTTCTACTTGAGAGACGTTAGACATCACAAGATACAGATTGAATTATTTTCTTATGATCAGGAGTAGGCCACATAGAATATACGGATCAATACCGCAAAATCTGTCTAGGTTCTCCCTTGGCTTAAAGCATCTTTTTTGCCATTCAACATGTTTAAATTCATATACAACCAAATGTACTTTTCTTCATAATTTGGGTGTTTCAAATATTAATTTCAAAAACCTAAATTTTAATCTCAACTGTTCTTCCATTGAGATGATTTAGCTACTGGAATTTACTGTGCACACCACGGTTCGAGGTCATGATAATGCAGTAACTACTAGTTAGGCACATAAAGAACTAGAATAGGTGCCGGGGAGATGGCTCGGTTCTGAAAAAAAAAAAAAAAAAAAAACCTAATAGAAAAGGAACAAGAGAAGGCAGGCGTGGGGGAGCCCGCCTGTAATCCCAGCGCTCTGGCGAGGCTGGGGTCAGAGGCTCGCAATTCCCACCTCGGCCTGGCCAAGGGAACGCGAGACCTGTTTCAAAGGGCCTGGCTTCACGTCAACTCAGTGTCACTAAAGGGGACGGACAAGGAAGCAGCAAGACTCCACCCCAGGGATGCACGGCCAGGCGAAGTCCGGTCGCAGCAGCCTTCCGGGCGAGCACAGGCTACAGCCGTTGGGGAGTCACGGCTCTGCGGAGCAGCAGCCCGGCGTTTGGTTTCCACTAACGAGGGTCCCCCGGATGCTGCGGAGGGCTCCTACCGAGGAACGCTGGCTAGGACTCCTGGGCTCTTCAGCAGCCAACTGAGAAGGGCGCCTTGAGGCCATTCGCGCAATGGCACAGAGAAAACTAGGAAACTGCCCAGCAGCGAAAGAGTGTCAGAAAGACGAGCCCTTACACCCGCGCGACTTTAAATCCGGCGTCACACGCTGTCCGCGGACGGCGCATGCGCAGCCCCGAAACTGCGCGTCCGGAGCGCGGCGCAGGGGCCGCTGGGAAGATGGCGGGCGTGGGCCTGTCGGCTGGGCGCTCGTGTGTCTTCTGTGGCCGGGCCGCTGCCTCTCTCGGCCCCCACCATGGCCTCGGCGCGTTCCTAGCACGGAAGCCCCAGCGGGTGCCCTGGCGGCTCCCAGGTCAGTGTGTGGACGTGAGTGGAGTGGGTGCCTTCGCCGCGCTGCGCCCGGCGGCTTTGGCGCCCCATTCGAAACTGCTCTGCGCTTCTGAGTAGTCCGCGTCCGGGCGCGTACAGCGCTGCGGAGGGCTGCGGGAACCTGGCGCAGCCCGGGCGTTCGGAGCCCCGAGCCTCGCTGGCCGAGTACGTTCTGCAGTGTAAGGCGCCCCTGCCTTCTCTGCACGAAAGCCCAGCGCTAGGAAACGTTCAGACGCGATTTCCAGGCATTTGGTTCTTAATTGCTTCTAGGGCTTCACAGGTCGCTGCTCCGAAACGCCTGGACATGCCGGCTCTTGACTTGCGGAGACTTAAAATAGGAGACGTATTTGCAGAAGTATAGCTGCCTTCTGGAAGCCCCGTTGTCTTGATTGATGCTCCCACTCACTGAAAGAACCGTATCACAGTACTCTCCAGAGGAAACCAAAGTTTAGAACCATATACATACATCATAAAACACACACCACATATGTATATTGTTTGTGTGCGGCTTTTATTGATCCATCTTCCTTATCCTTGACGCGCAGTTGGCAGATGCATGGTGCCTGGAATAATAACCTGATTACAGAGACCCTTTGTTTCCAGTGAAAAAACCCTGAATTTATATAATTAGTTTAATTTATATTCAGTTGTAAACAGCCCAAAGAGTGTGTGGTATGTCAGGATATTAGGAGTAAAATATTCTTTCATCTCTTTAGCAAATACGCATTGACTATGCACAGCTAATCCTTAACGGTGTAAAGGCGATTTAGGAATATAATACTAGAATTTGTCTACTTACAGTTCACTGACATTAAAAATCCACAGGGGAAATTTCTGTGTTGGAAGGGACTATTTGGACAAGGATAGAAAGAATTATTTGAGTGCTTAACTGAGGAAATTGGAAATGAACCTTATTGCTAATGCAATATTCTGACCAACATGTCTGACCCCTGATGGCCCTGTTTTTCACCTAACATTTTAAATTTGACATATTTCTCTTTACACTGAAGGTATGTAACAGTTGTGTAAAGGGGATAGATTTAACACTTTCATTTAGTTTTTACAAAATCAGCTGCACAAATCCAGAGTGGGGTAGACATTTACAGCACACATAGAAATGACCGAAAATTTTTCACTAGGCACAAGAACATGGAGGAAGACTCCATATAATACTTAAAATGATTTCTCAGCTAAGAAAAACACTGAAAGAAGTATGCAAACAATGGCTTTGGAGGGAAAAACTGGGATTTAAAAAAAAATGTGCTTTTTAAGTGTAAGTATATTAACTTTATAATAGGAAAAAAATAAAACAATGAAATGGAAGAAATTTGTAAAGTTTATTTGAGTTTTTCTATGCCACAAAAGTGAAGCCAATAAATAAAACACAAAGGGTGCAGAGTCCTATGAGCAATAAAAAAAAAAATGATACTATTATATGTTATTCAAGGTTATTTAGAAAGGAATTGCTGCTTGAAATGACTTCAACTGAAAAGTACAATACCACAGCCCTCATTTCCTGAATGGAGTGGCTGACTGAGAATGAGTGAAGGAAGGTTTGGGGTGAAGGTTTGAAACAATTTCCCAAAGGCTGACCCAGCCCATATCCCCAAAAGTACAGGATGTGAAAGTCCTCAAACAAATAATAAAGAAACCAAAATCTCACAAGAGAGAGTTGAAACTAGTGTAGTTATATCTGAATTTGGATTGATTCTGTTTAAGATGAATGATACAGCAGCAATAGAATAATTTTTGATGAATCACTGTCTTTTGCTTTGAAATTTCTGCCTCATTGTGTGTTTTGGAAGACTAAAGATTGGATCTTGGTTTAAAGTTTAGCAGTCTTGACAAAATTTTAAAACTGAAGACCTTGTGCAGAGATTTGTTCATTTAACATGTACTTTGAGTCTGATTTTATTTTTCCTATGAAATGGAAGTAGTATTTAACATTAACCCAATGAGTTAAGAAAATTTGAAATATATGCTTTTTGAAAAACTAGTTGCAAACTATAATTTATATTGTGTGCTTTGTTTAGTTTGCAGACAAAAGGCATCATTCTCTTTCCTTAGTCGACCAGAACTTCCCAAACTGGCTTATAAGCGGCTTAAAGGCAAAAGTCCAGGAATTATCTTCATCCCTGGCTACATCTCTAACATGAATGGTACAAAAGCATTGGCGATTGAGGAGTTTTGCAAATCTCTAGGGCATGCCTATATAAGGTAGGAACCACATACTTCAGAGAACCTATTGTCATTTAGCCTGGCAATGGAAAACTAATTCTTCTCTCACCAACCTAGCAAATGCCAGCACTTTAATAGATTCATCTATTTTAATGGTCTGTAAACTTTGATTTTGTGATATAGGGTCATTGTAAAAGTAACCTTTAAAGACCTTTCTAAAATGTCTTTATGCCAGATTGATGATACTGGCAGGAAAGTACATCTTAAGGAAACTAGTGGTGGCTAAGTTCTTAAGAGACGATAGTCTGTGTGACAAAAACACTACTTGACTTTCTTGTACTGTCTTGTAATTTTATGTTAGTTGTCTGTTGGAGATATATTTATTTGACCATCTTCTAAAATATGTATTTAGGGCTGTAAGAGTATACATTAAACATGCATGAGACACATAAGGACCTGAATTCAATTCCCACACTCACACAAAATTTGTAAAGTAACGGGAACTTTACAAATAGTTAAAAGTATTGACAGCTGTACTTGATGGTGCGCACCTGTAATCCCAGCACTTGGAGACTAACCCAGGATTGTCACAAGTTTGAGGCCACTTTGAAATGTATGGTGAGTTCAAGCCCAGCTTGAATAATGAACTACATAGGGACATCCTCTCTTAAAACCCCAAAGCAAGAGAAGTATTACAAAATTAGTAACTCACATTTCTGCTGAGTTTTCCTCTTGTACTCCCGTAATCTAATCATGTATGAACATAAATAGAAATACATGTTTAACTCAGTTAATTTTATAGTTTCTGGTTTTTCATACAGTTTTAGTAAAATAATTTGTTCACTTTGTGTTCAGTTTGCCTATAGTGATCATTTAGGGTCATTGCTATCCAATCACCATTTCGTTTTAGATTATTATAAGAGATCTTATCTTCTGTTTACATATTTTCCAATTTCTCAGTTTACTTTTGTGGTGGGTTTCGGTATAAAATTTTCCAGAACAGAATGTGGCTTATTTGAAAGAGCACTGAACTAGAATTTAAGAAGTATGGATTCTAGAATGAACTCTGTCAGTACCTGACCAGGAAAATCAGTTAATAAACTGGACCTGATTTTGTCATCCAAAAAGTGTTGAACCAAGATTTTAATTTTTTTCTAGCAATAACAGCATAAAAATCTGTTCACCTAAATTTTTAGAAAAGTGGTTTCACTAAAGTCATTTAATAGATCTAGAAAACACAGTTATATATAAAACTGAGATACTAGCTGTTGAGTATATCAATAGAAATTATGGTAATTGTGTGGAATTAATCTAAGTCCTATCATGGCAGCAGATTAATTTTATTTCCATATTTAGAGGTTTTAAAATCTCATTTGACTTAACTGTTGTTCCCAAGACTGGAGTATTTTTTGGAAATACTGAGTGTTGTAAATACCAAGCATTATGAAACACAGCTATTTTTTTAAGGTTCTTTCACTTACAGTGGAAAAAATAAAAGTTAGAAATTATACAAGCACACATCTAAATGTGACTGTCAAAAGTGAAGTATATTTAATTACATAAAGTGAGAGTAAAGACCTGGGAAATGAAGTAAATAGCAAAATCCTGAGAACACTGAAAAATGCTGGGTGGGAGATTAGTGCTGTCTATAGAAAGAGACGATCTTGAACAAAATATATCAGAAATACGGTGATGCATTCTTTTTTTGCCCCCAAAAGAATTTGAATTGAAAAGTCATCATTTTAGTAATGCTGAATTTCACTTGAGACTATGACAGTTACAATTTGAATCTACCTGTAAGACTTAATGTAGCAAACCAGATGTGGCTCATGCCTGTAATCCCAGCACTTGGGATTGAGGCTGAGATAGGAGGAAAACCATGAGTTCTATGCCAGCCTGGACTAACCAGGGCGATGCTGTCCCAAACCGCACCAAAAAGATTATGTAGGGTTTTATTTCCTCTTATTAAACTTCATTACCATCTAATCACTAGTAACTATTGATTTTAACTTATTACAAGAAATTTGATCTTCTGTGTCTGTATTTTCAGTTCCTCAGTTTACTTTTTTTAATGACTTTTGTTACAAAACTTACATCTTGATGAGATGACTAGTTTAACATACAAGAAATAGTACATGTGGCCATATTAAAATGATTTATTAATGTCCTGTGTCCACGCCTAAAATGAAATTAAATCAGAGTTCAAGAATATGACATACACTTAAAGCCAATATTCTCAGGATTAGCTCTAATAATATTTTTAATTTGGAACTGTGTCCCTGGAGAATTGAAGCTGCTAGGACAGTGTAGTGTTACTGTTTAGAAATCTTTTTTTGGGGGGGTGGGGGTGGGGAAGGGTCTAGAGGATGTTTAGGGTCTCACTACTAGATTGGACTCAAGTGATCTGCCTGTTTACAGCCTCCCAAATGCTGGGATTACAGGCATGCGCCACCATGCCCAGTGTCAATTGCCATCTCAGCACGCCCTGGGGGTAGGGCCGGCATGGCAGGCCTGAGGATCAAACCTGTGCCTGCTTGCAGGCTCCTTAATCCACTGAGCTGTTTGGCCAGCCTAAAATATGAAAATTTTGGTCATCCTCACTGGTAAGGGTTTTGTTTTGTTTTGTTTTGTTTTGTTTTGTACCATGTATCAAACTCTGGACCTTGTGCTTGCCAGGCACACATTTAAGCAGCTGAGCTATGTGCGTAGCCCCTAGAAATCTTAAAAATGCTGTTTGAATTAGTGGTTTTTGTCTACAGATTAAAGTTTAGTTTGAGTGAACTATATCTCTATTCTTACTTAGAACCTGTTAGCATTGCTAAATGTTTACGAAGGCTTGCCTTTACTTCGCTTTACTGTGGTTTACAGGCACTGAGTTTTTTTACAATGGAAGTTATGGCAGGCCAGTGGTACAGAGCTTCTTGTACCACTAGTGGTGATTGAAGCTTGTAGGAATGTGTTAAAATATTACTTTTTGTAGGATGTAATATTATTGCATACTTGGTAGACTGAACTGTCATGTAAACATAGCTTTTTTTGTTGTTGTTTTTTGGTTTTTTGTTTGTTTGGTTTTTTTTTGTTCCTCAAATGCCTTCAGGGCACTTTTGGCCAGCTGGAGAGGTGTGAGGTTCGAACTCCAGCAACCTGAGGCTGACAGCTTTGTGGAAGCAGCCACTTAAAGGCCTGAGCTAGGGCCAGGCCCCCTGGAATAAGGATTTTTTTGTTGTTGGTGTTGTTCCTCACATGCCTTCAGGGCACGTTTGGCCAGCGGGAGAGTTGTGAGGTTCCGAACTCCAGCCACCTGAGGCTGACAGCTTTGTGGAAGCAGCCACTTAAAGGACTGAGGTAGGCCCAGGCTCCCAAACATAACTTTTTTTAAAGAGAAAAAAATTAGAAAATTTCAAAACAAGGTAATAAGTTAATAGTGGTTATATTGCATATTGTTATTTTCAAAGTACTTGCTTAGATTACAAGATATGGGGAATGTAAAACTGATCAGTGTAAGCACAAACCATTCCTTTCAATGAACTAACAGAAATTAGTAGTATAATTATCTCAGCTATCTTGTGTATATATATATATATATTTTTTTTTTTCCTTCCCCATCCCAGTTCTTTACTTTTAAGCAGTTTCTTTCCCTTTCACAGTGTCTGTTGTGTATTTTAGATCTTATTTTACTCTTTCAGTCTCATACTAGGGAGACAGTGCAATGTTAACACATGTGGGTCTGATTTATTTCACTTATGAATATGGTCTCCTCAAATTTACCCTTCTTTATAATTGAGTAGTACTCCATTGCATAAAATACCATCCCTCAGTTGATTTGCATTTGTGTTGTTTTCAGAATTTAGCTATGACAAATGGCACTACTTTAAACATTGGTGTACTTATATTACTGTTGTATGATGTTTTTAATTCTGGGAAAATACCCAGAAGGTGGAAACAGCTGTGCCAAATGGGACCTCAAATCCTATTTTTTGAGAAATATCCACACTGATTTCCACAATGGTTGTACCAGTCTACACTCCCAGCAATGGAGGATAAGGGTTCCCTTTTCCCCACAATCCAGTCAGGTTTGTTATTTGTTGATTTCATCCTGATAGCCGTTCTTTCTGGAGTGAAAAGAAACTATAAGTATGTTTCATCCTTACTTTATATTTGAAAGGTAGTTGGAAATGAAACTACATGTAACAGTATCCACATACTGTCAAACAGTTGATATTTTTCCCCTCTCTTCTCCTCTGTCTATCCTCTAGGTACCCTTAATTGAGAAAGAAATAATAACTGATTTAGACTACAGCAGCAACCTTATTCACATTTCTCTAGAATCCAGCATCAGATTTAAGTTTGTCCTCAAACTTAAAGACAATTTTAATTTCATTTTCCTTTATCACTTCGGAAATGTGTTTATACTGTGTATCACGTACCCTTTTATATAATCTAAAAGTACTAGGATTCATTCATTTTCACTGGATTTTAAGAATAAGAAAAATATGAAGGCCTGATACTTGAGTAATTTTTTATTTTAATCTTTTAATATGTTACATTGATACTGTTATCCTCAAGGTGGGGTTTTCATACCTAACCACTATGAGCAGTGCAGAAGCAGTAAAAAATGATGTATTTGCCCTCCAAGATCTCACTATCTCACAAGAATGAACTCTTCCTCTCCCTTTTACTTTTCTTCTCTTTCTCTCCCTCCTCCCTCCCTCCCTCTTAGAGAGTAGGATATAATAGATTGCCTATGACTGACAGTTCTATGGAAGTTTCATAAGGGAAGGATATTTTCAACTGATTACATCTACAAAAAGTAATACTTTAACACATTCCTGCAAGCTTGAATCAATGTTTCTTTGGACATTCTGAAAGAATACTTTAGTGAAAAGATGATGGAGAAAGTATAGCAGGTGGCGAGCAAATTAATCAACTGGCTAACATAGTACTATAGTTTCCCTTGATAAGTGATGAGAGATGAGTCCGAGATGAGCAGAATATTCTTAAGCAGTAGGCAAAAACACTTGCAGGGAGCCATTGAGGGTAAAGCTAAAACATAATTGTCAAGAAAAAAACCCAACAGGTACAAAGTAGATTCATTAGGAGACAGGCAGACACAGACTACTGTGATAATCTGCATTTAAGATCACAAGGACCTGCGACAAGAGCCTGCACTCATCAAAGTGGAGATAAAGGGATAAATTGCGGAGAATGAGTGAGGATCATATAGGGCAGGCAGTCTTGTGTTTTGGGAAAGCAAACATGTAGAAATGGTCTGCCCTCGATGACCTGGTAGTCTAGTCAATGGGACACATGAAAAATGTTCATTTTATACAAAGTGGAGTGCCTGGTACTAAATGGGAAAAGTATGCCAAAGGAGCTGACATGACTTAAAGAATGACTTGGAGTTTCATTCAGAGGGAGGAATTTCTTGGCAATGGAACACCATGCAGGGGCTCAAAGTTCTGAAAGGGTTCTCTGAAAATTAGGAGCAGTTCAATATGACTAGGGTTTGGGTAGCCTGGGCATCAGATGATTCTTTATGATTTATTGAGTTGAGACCTTGAGGGAGAGGTGGAAGTCACAAGCCAAGTAGTGTTTGTATTACCTGGATGCCTCAGAAGTTGGAAGGGGAACTGGACAGGTTCATGGTGGTGGCTTTGGTTCTGGTCTCCTTCCTGCCCTTCATGTAACACTTAGCACTTGCAAGGTACTGATGCAGGCCCTAGAGTTTCCATTCCAGGACAAGAGGCAGGCCACAAATAACTATATTCCATGTCAAGTATAATAAGTGCTAGGAAGAAAATAAAATAAGGACATGGAGAATGATAAGAGAAGCACAGATTTACTGATTGAATGGTCGAGAAGTCTTATGAGAATGTCATGTTTGAGCCCAAGTCCCAAATGGTTAGGGGCCAAAGTGTGATGAGGACATTAGATTTTATAAATATAAAAAGCTGTTGCAGGGTTTCTACAAAACCCATTTGGTTTACAACGGTCCCTAAGACTATAGTGGGGACTAGACTGAGAGTGAAAGAGTAAAATGTGGATTGAAGAGCTGTATTAGGAGGTTTACATTAGTTTAGTCAGAAGATAGGAAGGACTTGGACTGGACTTGTAGCAGGGTAGCAGGTAGAAAGGTGATTAAATGGCTGAGACGTGATGACCAAGCCAATAGGACTTGCAGAAATACACATTGAGTGATGTTTACTGTATTCTAAGTCTTATAATAGCATTATAATAGCTCTTAAAGAAGCAAATACATAGGTATATAACATTTAGATATAAATATATATTTTTCCCTTTTTCCAGATTTGATTACTCAGGAGTTGGAAACTCAGAGGGTAACTTAGAAGAGTGCACAGTGGGGAAATGGAGAAAAGATATTCTTTCTATAATTGATGATATAGCAGAAGGACCACAGGTGACTTTTTGTTACATTTGATTATAATTATTAACTCTAACCTTATATTGAAGGTATCGTAGATAGGAAAATTCATTTCATGTTTTAAATGTTTAGCAACTTTGATAATTTTTCTTTAAAATTTTTCTGTGACTTTCACTGTCATAAAAGTAGCAATTCACTCTATAAATTCTATTCTCATCATTTGTAGTATAGAACTAACAGTTTAACAGATGTTAATTGCGTTCAGTGCCAAATATTAGAAGTACGGGGACTATATAACAAAAAAAGTATTTACATTTCTGTTAAAATGTCTCATTCTTCTTGTAGAAAAGAAAAAGATTCCAGTTTAAAGCCATATATATTGTCATTTTTAGATACTGGTTGGATCTAGCCTTGGTGGGTGGCTTATGCTTCATGCTGCAATTGCGCGACCAGAAAAGGTCATGGCTCTTGTTGGTATAGCTACAGCTGCAGATGCGCTGGTAACACAGTTTAATCAGCTTCCTGTTGAGGTAAGTCACAAGTCCCTTTACCAAGGTCTGTGTATATGACCTGTCTTCCGCCTACTCCATCTTCGAACATTTATGTATCATTTGCCCTTTGACTTACTACACTAACCTGTCTTTATCTCACTTGCCTTTTGTACACAGTCTCTTTGCCATGTGTAATGAGTTAGCCTTTCAGATTGCCTTTCAAATCATTGTGCTAAATTTTTAAATCATTTTACGTGATCACACTGTACAATTTCTTTTTAATCACATCGGTGTATTTGAATCATATATCATGATCTCTTTGTGTCTCTTATTCTTACTTTGTGGTATCTGGGCGATAGTGCTTGTTCTTATGAGCATGTTAGACTGGACTAATACACTGTAGAACGTTTAGCCTGAAAGTAGACATGGTCCTGTCCGCACGCCTTTACTTGTCAATCAGTGTTAGGACATTGGAGGTACAATTGCCCATTTGTGGCTTAGCTGCTTAGTTGCTGTTACTGAATCTTCATCGTAAAGGAAGAAAATGTATATTTCAGTATTAACATGCTGCTTACCAAATCATGATAGAAATGAGACTTTTAAAATAATTGGGAAGATAATTAGTTTATTATACATGTTTAAGCACTTTAGTTGTCTACAAAGATGAGGAAATAATGAGTGATAGCTTTTATTTTCTATCTTTTTTTTCTTTTGTTTTCTAATCAGTTGAATTCTCCTTGAGTTTTTTTCCTTCCCCTAGGAATCTAAATTTGACCTGTGAGCCAGGCATAGTGTGGTGGCCCACACCTTAAGCCCAGCAGTCAGGAGGCTGAGGCAGGAGGATTACCCCAAGTTTGAGGCCAGCCTGAGCTGCAATGTGGGTTCAAGGCCAGCCTGAACTACATAGCAAGACCCTCTTACAACCTCCCCCCCCCAATTAAATACATTTCACTGATGGAACTAAGTGAGTGGCTGACCCAAGATACAGAAATTAAAAAAAGAAAAACAGTCTAAATTCAGGTGTGCCTGTAATCCCAGCACTCTGGGAGGCTGTTGCTGGAAGATGCAAGTTGGAGCCCAGCATGCAAGAGTTAGTGAGAGACTCTGTCTCAGAATTTTTTAAAAAAATACTGGGGACATAGCTCAGTGCAAAGGCACTGGGCTCAGTTGTCGGCACCACAAAACAATACGAGCAATGGGCTGGGGAGTTGGCTCAGTGGAATAAGCGCTTCCCTGGCAAGCGCAAGGGCCTGAGTTCAATCCCTGGTTCCGCAAAAAAAAAAAAAAAAAAAAAAAACCACAATAAGAGCGAAAAACCATTTAGAGCACTGGTTCACGAAGTGTGTTCCCAGGCCAGCAGACGGGCATCGCCTCAGAACTTGTAAGCCATGCTGATCATTGAGCTTTATTCTCAAGTAGAAATGGTGAGTATGTGCCCAGCAGTGTATGTTTTAACAAGTTCCCCAGGTAGAGTCTGAGAGTCAGTAACAGAGATTTCAAGATGTGAACAAAAGAGAAAGAAGAAACTTGTACCATTGAGCAAAGTCATTGACTTTTGTCTCAAGTTCAGCTTTGAAGCCTGGGCCATACATCATTTATAAATTTATTCACGGTTTATCTTGATTTTCTTCTTCTTTTTTTGGCAGAACCAGGGATTGAATTCAGGCCCCTGCGCTTATTCCACTGAGCCATCTCCCTGGCCCAGTCTTGATTTTCTTAGCTCCTTAAGAAAACATCAGTAGTCAGAGTCCTCATTATTTCCCCTCAGTGCTAAAATTCCGAAGCTGATCTACCTTGCACTTATTTATAATTTCTGAAATTTTTTTCACTTTCTTTTTTCTCATACCTAGTTGCTTAATCCTCTTGCTTTTAACATCATTTCCTTTTCCTGCATTGAAACCTAGACCTTTGCTCCATCTTGTTTCAAAAATGCCGTGCTTCTTATAGTTGGGAGTCACTCAAGGATATGCCACATTGAAAGGGAGTTTATTCCTTTTTTGTTGTTATTGGTAAAGAACAAGATCTGTGTATTTGCATGTGTATATCTGCATCACTGTGAGAGAGAGAGGTAGCTCCATATGGCATATAATTGTTAAATTTAAATGAGGTAAAAGCAGCTGTTAGCAGAAGCACGGTCAGCCCTCGTTAACCCGGGAGCAGAAGCCTGGCTTTATGAAGAGCAGGGACACTGGGACCACTGCCTCTTTTACACACTGTCAGCAAGTTCTGAAGATTTTGATCTTTATATATGAATTATGAGTGGAGGATTTTGCCATCTCCTGTAACTTGGGACTATGACGCACAGCCTTTGTCACTGGGTGCCTTGGAGCTTGACCTCCTCTTACCTGGTTCCAATCAGTATCTTCTTTGTATACCAGAAACAGGGTTGATGGTGGCTTGAACTCTTAAGCCTCTGAAAACCACATTGCCTTAATGCACTCCCCTCTTATCTAGAGCTATCTGTACACTGTCTTTGGATAATGCTGCTTTTGTTCTCAAATTTCGTTTTTGAGATGATAAGACATAAAACATTTTATGAAGTTAGCATGGTTCTTCAGGTGAACCATACTCATTCTATTCAGTGGTAGACAATAAAGTTAGGATTTAGGTATGATTAAAATGAAATTATTATTAATTCAGTGCCTCAGTAATTTGCTAACTTCTATGTCAGCTAATTATCAATGGAACTAAGTTAAAAATATGCTTCAGTTAAATTGCCAAAGTGTGTCTGTGTGTATAGAACATTTTGTTTTTAAATTCTGATTTTTTATTTTTACATTTGCAGTAAATTTTTAAACATGCAAAAATCATAGAATCTTTATTAAATCTTATATATTTTCAAATATGTTGAATATAGCTTTTCTTTTGTTATATTTTCCTTTTCGGTAAGATGTCCACCTGCTTTTCTAATGAAAAATGCCCTTTATATCATATAATTTCAAGAGCTTTGTACCTACACACAGCTTGATATTTCAAATTCTGATAATTTTCTCTAAGAATTTATGATATGCAAATTAACATTTGTACTGAAAAATGTTTAGTATAACATTGAATTTGAATTGTTTTGTAGCCTTTGCAACATTTTATAAAAATTTTTAAAACCCAAAAATACATACACTACATTAAAAAATACAGAAAATTGTATATGAATGTGTAACAGACCATATATTTTACATCATTCATATATAAAAATTAAACATCTTGAAAAATACAGAAGGAAGTAAGCCAGAATATTAAGGATCATGATAACCATAAGGTAGTATTGTAAATGATTTTTCTAAACTTTTTTGGATTTTGTGTGAGAATGTTACAGAGTATTTTCTAGAGAAAAATTCCAAGTTTTAATTAGAAAAATTAAGACGAATAAATTTTCTAAGAAATAGTAATTAGTAGGGGGCCAGAGAGATGGCTCAGTGGAATAAGCACTTCCTTGGCAAGTGCAAGGGCCTGAGTTCAATCCCTGGTTCTGAAAAAAAAGAAAAAAATAGTAATTAGCTGGGTGTGGTGGCACAAGGTCTTCATCCTAGTTCTTGGGAGACTGAGCCAGGGGGTTTACTGAGTTCAACTGGCCAGCCTGAACCATATAACCAGATCCTATCTCAGAAAACAAAACAAGGTAAATGAATTATTACAGGATCGTAGGATATATAACATTTCATTTTAAGAAATAAATGGAGAAAAGATACTTTTCAGTTTCTGGGAAGTATTTGGAATGCTTCTTTGTTATCAAAAACAAAATAACAATAATTTCTTTTTCTGTTCTTAGGACCCTGCAAGGTAAAATCTTGGTCTAAAATGGTGCAAATATGGGTCTCACTTTTCATTCACAAATCATTGTCTCACTTTGCCTTTTTAGTTCTGTGCTTGCCTCTTCCTCTTAGATACTTCTGGCCCATTTTAGGTATTTCTGATAGATATTTCAGTTTTATGATTTTAAAATCTATTTCCAGCTTTTTTTTTTTTGGTGGAACCAGGGATTGAACTCAGGCCTTTGCGCTTGCCAGGCAAGCACTTATTCTACTGAGCCATCTCCCCAACCCCAGTGATTTTAAAAGACTTTTATTCTAGGATTTAATTTGATATAAATATGGATGTTTGTGGACTCATTTTCTTACATTATTGTACTTTTCTCCCTGTTTCTCTTTTCAGTTGTGCTAAAACAACACTTTTTTAAGAACCTATATGGTAAAGTCAGACAAGTCAAAGTTTGATTCCTAGCCATAACCATTTCTAGCTTTTAACTTTGAAGATGACATTTAACTTCTCAAAACTGTATATCATATTTTATGAAAAGAGGGTACTAGCAGAAATCTTGCTGGGATTTTGCGAGATAAAGATGTGTAAGGTACCTGTCACAGCACCTTGCACGTGGTGTATAATCTTTGATGTTTATCATCGTATTTTTTAGCGTGTCTTCTTATTTAAGGGCTACTTTTTTGAAGCTGTTCAAAATTATTGCCTGTGTTAATGTGCACACATACTTCTGTTGTCCTCATTTTTCCTCTCTAGGTAAAAAAAGAAGTAGAGATAAAAGGCACGTGGTCTCTGCCATCCAAATACCACGCAGACGGGTTCTACCGTGTTCAGTACAGTTTCATCAAGGAAGCCGAGCACCACTGCTTGTTGCACAGCCCCATTCCTGTGCGCTGCCCCGTCCGCCTGCTGCACGGCCTGAAGGATGACATTGTACCGTGGCAAACGTCCATGCAGGTGGCTGACCGCGTACTCAGCACGGATGTGGATGTCATCCTGCGAAAAGAGAGCGATCACCGAATGAAGGAAAAGGCTGACATACAGCTGCTTACTTACACTATTGATGACTTGATTGACAAGCTTTCAACTATAGTTAACTAGAATCATATTTATAATTGGTATGTAAACTGATATATCCAGAAGATTGAAAGAGTAATAGCAAATCAAAGATCCTGGCACTTTAGATTTTTTCCTCTTACCTCTGTAAATATCAAATAAGTATTTATTCAATGATGTTTTGTTACAAATAACATGAACTGTGGCAAAAGTACTGGCTGTTGTTTAGACAGTTCTCTCCTTCCTACAATCTTTGAATTTTTTTCCACTAAAATAATTCCTATTTTTTTTATCAAAGAGATGTTTACATTTCTTATGAGTATGTTAGCTGGGCCACTTCTTATGTTCCTATCTACTTAGAATTATTAATAAAGCTTAAATACTTTAGGTTTTGTTTCCATTATATATGGAAATTTGTAAAGTAACTTCTCACTTTATAATGCTAAAAAATACAAGAAAATGTTTATTGAAATAAGTTGAAATGATTGGAGAAATATTGGAAGTATAATAAAAATTGAAGAATGTTATATTTAATCTCTTGTTTTTTTCTAAAGGCTCGCAACTGTGTACAGTGCAACAAGGAGATATTTCTAAATTTTTACTTATATGCCGTAATTAAATGGGAAATTCATCTCACTGATGTAGCATTTCTATGTAATGATTGATGAAACTAAGGAGAAAATTGATCTTTCTACATGAATGCGTGCTTGCAGAAATACCTTTTGTCAGGAAGAGATGTGAGTGTAATGAGTCCAGTGTTTGCCACTTAAATCAGGAATTCTGAAGTGTGGAGTCAGTAAAAACTATGTAAGCATAGAAGAGGTTTCTTTTAATAATTAAAATGAGTATGTATAGTGATTAGCTTTGATGTTATTGAGTTGGTGTTTCTTAGCTATTAACTTGAGCTAGACTTTATTTAGCCTGGTTGGCTTATGTCTGTCAAAGTAAAACTTTTATTAAGTTGGCAATGTGACTCATACATAAAATGAACATGTGTCAAAGATTTAACTCATTAATGAGGGTGCCAGCAGATAGTAAATGTGGTTCAAAGAACAACTGAAGAAATAGAGTATTTAAAGGTATTGAAGAAAAGAGTTTGGGATAAAATTGCTGTGCAGAAAAGTGTTCTATAGCAGGCTGGCTGATTATCCTTAGAGGCCCACTTTACGAGGTGAGCTGTTGGCTGGCATCTGGAGACTTGGATTTCAAGGGGCTTCCCCATTCCCACAACTGCTCAAAGTAGATCCCTCTGCTTAAGTTATCTGCAAACACTGAGGCTTGTGCTGAGCAGTTGCTTTTCCTTTGGGAGTCCAGAATTTTGGTGTGTGCTAGGTAGACTACTTATGTGATCAGCCTCCAGTAAAAACCCTGGGCACTGAGTCTTAACAGTAAGTGTTCATGATGAGCAAAGTTTTGTTTGTACTACTGTAAATCATTGTTGGAAGAATGAAATCAGCTTCTGTGACCACTGGAAGAGGATTCCTGCACACATACCCGGTTTCCCCAGACTTTACCACACATACCTCAGTCCTTTGCTGATTTTGCATCATAAAAAATCATTGCTGTGTATATATACTGAGTCCTGTGAATACCAGGAAATCTGCAGCCTGGGGTGGTCTCAGGGACTCTTGATGCAGATACCATAAAATTACAACCCATGGGTTACCTTGTATATCACAGAAAAATCACATACCACAGAGAGGAATCAGTGCGACTAGAATGAGTTGATGGAGGGTGACAATGGCTATTGCTAGTCATTAGGATTGCTAGGGAAGTGAAAGAGGAGAAGGGCCCACCCAAGAGTTTCTGGGGTTAGAAAATGTCATGAACATGGTAGAGTCATAGTGGACATGTAAGGCAGAGTAACAATGGTAAAGGGCAAGCGAGGGTTTGAATCCTTACTCATCATTTACCAGTGCTGCATGATTTACTTAGCCTCTCCAAGCGTGTTTCTCATCTATGACAAAACTAGGCAGTAGGGTGTAAAGATCAAATAAGTAGCACATTTAGACAATGGCACAGGAGATGCTTCCTTTTCACTTTTATTTCTATGTGTAGAGCACAGTCCAGTGAGAGTTGAGTGCATACAAGAATCCATGGTGCTACAGGAAGAAAAGTGGAAGCAAGGAAGGTAAGACTTCTAGAACTGAGCTAGATTTGACTTTCCTAGCATGTAGATCCTGAAGTGAAATGTTTTAGGGTGTTACTCAGTGTGCAAAACAGAGATGGGGGAAATGCACAATCTAGAGATTAAAAAATCTTCTAAAATTTAGCTTTACTATCCAGTGTGGTGTTCTACACCTTTAATCACAGCATCAGGAGGCTGCGGCAGGAAAATGACCATGAGTTCAGCCTGTACTCTATAGAGTGAGACCTTGTCTCACAAAAATGAATTAGCTTTCTAGAAATTGATAGTGCAAATTTCATGAGATTGAATGTGAAATATAGTGGGTTTTTTCAGTACATGGTTAATTAGTACAGTTTTTTTTCTATGTTCCCCTCAAGGTATTTTTTCAGATATTAATTCTGTGCTATGTATACAACAGCATGAAAAATGCATGTGCAGCCAGCAGAACCTGCACACATCATTTGGAATTCCCAGATTATTTTAAAAGAAGCATGATTCCTGCAAATGATCTCAGCGTGTACAATGGAAAAGAATAAGGCAAATATCAAAGAAGAAGGCTAATGGAGGCCACATAATATATTTTTATTTTGCTGCATCTGTGGAGTTTAGAAAATTCCAGACACAAATCTAAACAGTCTGTCATTCTCTGATGTCTAGAAGAGAGGAAGAAAAGAGCTCTGGGCAAAGATGTTTTATAAAGCTTGGAGGCAGATAAGAGAACTTTCTTCACCTCATAACTTCCTAGACAGTCCCCAAAATGTCCGAGTTCAATAAGGAACAGTTAGAAAAAAATCTAAAGAACTCTTATAGAAGAAAATCGGAAGAACTCATATGGGAGAGGGAAGAAGGTAGGTGAAATTTATGGAGTTATGCCTTGACGTCCCCAGAGGGGTTGTTCCAGCACTCCTTATGGATATTAACATCCATAAAGGCCTCTGTTTCTCCTGTACAGTGGCACAGTACTCTTAGTAACCAATACGCACCCTCCTGTGTGCTTCATGAAGACATCTCTAGGTCTCTTGCAACAGCATACTGCAAATGCTAGCGAGTCATCGTTACTCTATTTTCTAGAGAATCATGGCAAGAAGTCTACATGTTCAGTGTAGGCACACAGTTTTCAATTATTTTGGATCCTCAGATGCAAAACATGAAGATACATAGGGACAACTAAGCTCCTGCTTAGGCAAGTACAGGGAGTGGGATTCGATCCCTGGTATTGCGTGCTGCACTGACCCTGCCCTTGGGTGCACTGAGTTAGCCACTGAGTCTGGGCATGGTGGCACATGTCTGTAATACCAGCACTGGGGAGGCTGAAAACAGGAGGATCACTACAAGTCTAAGCTGTGTAGTGAGACCCTATACAAAAAACAAAATAAATAAATACCTTTAAAAAATTTTTTAAGCAGAGGTCTGATGTAACTTGTTAGAAATGCTCACATACTGTGTGGAATTTGGTGTATGAAAAAACATGATGCTTAATGTAGTTAAAGAGTATACCTAGAAGAATGCAGGTATTTTAAAAACAATGTATTTTGAGGAAAATTATCTTTTCTCATTGTATCTTCCTAGACTTTGAGATTTTGGCCTATAGTCTACTATTCTACCAAAACAAACAAACAAACAAACAAAACCAACCTAATATTACTGTCAGTGACAGAAGGTATAGTGCCTGCTAGTTTTTCAGGGTAGCGTTTCCTGACTTAGGCCCACCTCTTTTTTCCCAGACAGGTGGTTGCTGGGTTCTCTGGTCTCACAAGGAGCAACTGTCCATGCATTTTCCATAGAACTTCCTACTTGGAGCTTCTCAGCCTATATGTCAGCCTCCTCTCAAAGGACCTTGAGCAACATTACCCTGTTTATGGTTTTAAGTACTACCTGCATACAAGTTATTTAAGTATATTCCTACAGGTGAGGTTCCCCTCTTCAACTTCAGACTCATAAAACAGACTAAGGAGATCCAATTGGGGGCCTTCCAGATGCGGTTAGCTCCAAGCCTTATTATCTTTTCCCCTTTCTGTATCACCGCACCTGTAAGGTTTTTTTGTTTTTGTTTTTGTTTTTTTGCCATGAAAGGTACAGCTATCAGTTACCCAAGTCAAACTGTGAACCATTCTCACATCTCCTGATGAAAATTTTTGAATTCTTTTTTATGATACATAATTCCACACAAAGATGGTAAATATCTGACAACCAGCATGGTAGGGGCCTGAGCTTTACCGTGCCAACATCCATTGCATTGCATAAGTACTCCTGTCATGGCTGCCCTCAGACTACCCCGATGACATCTCCCAATACAAAGCTTGGAAAGAGTGCTTCATAGCATACCCATATTGTCTGCACCATACAGAGAAAATAAACACAAATACTCAGCAATATAGGCAATGGGGAAATGTAACAAAACAAGTCTTTGCTTTGAGTATTTAACCTTTGTAATGTAATTCATTTAAGAGAAAGTTAATACAATGTAATTGCTAATAATGGCTATACTTAATAACTGACTCTCAAAGTTCATGAAAATTTAACCACAAGTACTCGCGAGCACTGCACTTTATCATTTCCTGCCTACCTGACAATCTAGTCACATTTTCTTTCTTTGTCTCCCTTTGTGCCCAGGGCTTCGTTGATTCAGGATCAGTTTCACCTTCTACATAAACTGTCTTTGCCATCAATACTCCTAGCCTCTTGGCTAAGCCCACCAACCTAGCAAATACCTATGTATCTTCCGACATGTCATCTTGTTTGTAAACCTTTGCCTAATTCCCTGATCCCCTTCCCATGGGTTTTGTACCAACCTAAGTGCCTCATGCATAATTTTACCGTGTGCTCTGGCCAGTGTCCATTGTTTACAATTTTAACTTTACTATTGAACTGATTTACCATGCTTCATTTCTGTACTTCAGATACTATAGACCCTTGGAAAATAGATTGAAAAAAAGTAGCTATAATGCTACTCAGCATTCAGTAAACACTACCTTGAGCTGATGACCAGCATTTTTCCTCTAAAAGTTTTTCTAGATTTCTAGACATACCCTGTGTCTGACTGTCTTCACCACCTCATTCTTTCCAGAACTATGGAAAAGTTACTATTACTATTGTTGTAATGGGAAGGAATCTGGGTACAAAAGATTGGGGGGTGGGGGGAGGTTAAAAAAGAGAAGAAAAATGCCAGCCAGGCAGACGTATATCTTTAAAATCCTTCTAGCTTTGCTTAATAACAAACCAAATCTTCTCTAGGCAAATGCCAGGCGTGGAGAAGGATGCATGCTTTCTGCTTGGGCCTCTGTCCTGGAGTCCCAGGTGGAACTAACCTTATTGCTGCTCTCCCAACGGGAGAGTCACTAGTTAGTGACTTCCATAATTCTGCTGCTAGTCTGCCTGCCCTCAGCTGTCCCCCAAGCCCAAGTCTCTGGAGACAGTTCTGCTGGCTTAGAATTGCAGCTGAGATTCTGTTCAGCTGCAAGCCAGTTCTTTATTTCTTTCTGAAATGTGTGCTCTCCTAGAGGCTCCTGGTTCTCTTCACCTCTACCAGTCATGGAGTTCAGTTCCCCAAACCTTTGACTACTGACCACTAAATCTTCTTTCAGGCAAACCACTCATATATCTACTAAGTAATTACATTTCCCCTAGTTTAGGCCCTAGACTGCAGGAGATTTTTCTCAATATGTGTATTTATTACTTGAAGGGTCATTTCCTGCATGGCTTCTACTCACTTTCCTACAGGGAAAATGATCACTATCCTGTGCACTAGATTTGCTTTACCTAATGTGCTTGAGTCGATTTACCAGCCCTTTCTAGAGCAGGAATTATATTTTATTTTTTTTCAGTCCAGTATTTGACACAGTTAAGCATTAAACATTGTTGAACAATGAAATGAAGTAAAGAGCAAACACTTGGGTGTTTTTCTCATGAAAAGTACCAACATATTTACACTGCGCCAGGGAGACTCCGTCTTTCACCTCAAGTAGCTTACACGGTAGGTCTTACACAAACCTCCAGACCTGTGGAAAAACTTATAAAAATTTCTCCTCAACTTAAACCTAATGATTTTTCCTGTGCTCTTGTTTATGCTGGCATTCATACACAGGCCACATCTGTACGCTACCAAAACCTTTCATTCTAAATATCTTCAGGACATTGCTCTTTGTGAAATTTGCTCTTAGTGTCTTTTCGTTTGAAAGAGCATTAGAGAAGCAAATCTTAAATAAAGCCAACCGGAGGTGCAGGGTTTTCCCACAGGACTGAAGATTCCTGGTGAGTCCAGGCGCCCAACTGAACAAGTAAATGACCGGCTTTCAGTCCGCTGCCCTGGAACCCCAGAGGGTCTTCCCAGACAATTACTACACGGACAGGGAGAAAGCGGCCTGGCTTCTGCCGACAGATGGACAGCAGAATGGACCCTCCTACCGGCTCCATCGCCTCGTGCAGCTGCATGCTGGCCCTGCGTACAATCGCGGTCTCCCAGAGGACCAGATGGCATTGTACAGCTGAGAAAGACGCTCCCGGTGGGAGGGGGGCGGGCGGCTCGCCTGACACCGGAGAGGGTTGGCTTTCGGAGGGCTCTTAGCAACGGCCCTGGCCTGACCCTCCTTGGCCCCCCGAGAAAATCAAATCAGTGTGCTTTTCTCCATGCGCGAGCGAAGCGGTGGCAGCAGCTTTCCTAGGCAGCCCTCCTCCGCGCTTGTGAGTAACCTGCTCTAGGAGCTGATGGTTGCTGCCTTTGCAAAGCGCTGCTGAGAGGTAGAAGATCGACCGCCGCCCATCCCCCGCTGCTGGGGGCTTCAGGCTGGACGTAAGTCCGGGTGCTTCATCTCCTCTCCTTGATAGGCGGGACCGAGAGGGGCTCCAGCCCCCATGGACCGACAGGGGCTTTATTCTAGAGTCCTCAGCTCTCGTGACTGTGTGGCTGCGCTTTCCTTTCCCGTTTGTAGGTAAAGCCCCATTGGCTTCATTGGCTCCTTGATTTAAACCACGCCCGGCTTTCTGCCTGCTCTGCTGCTGCAGGGCCAGGGCGCCCAGCCACATCCCAGCCTGTGTGCAGGGAGTCAGGCCGCTGTTGCTGCTATTGTGTGCATGCCGTCGTGTCCTGTCCTCTCTTCCAGAGATGGCTAACAGGGGCCCAAGCTACGGTTTAAGCCGGGAGGTGCAGGAGAAGATCGAGCAAAAGTATGACGCGGACCTGGAGAACAAGCTGGTGGACTGGATCATCCTGCAGTGTGCTGAGGACATAGAGCACCCACCCCCTGGCAGGGCCCATTTTCAGAAATGGTTAATGGACGGCACGGTAAGGCCACAGCGACCTCGGTTGCTGGGGTGGTGGGCAGGGAAACCCTCCCCAGGGCCCTTCCTTTCAACTTGGAGCCCTGGGGGTATCAGCTGTTGCCAAGCTCAGCTTCTCACTGGGAGGTAGTGGTGGAAATGCTTTTATTTTTTTCAGTGCTGGAAGAGATGGGCTTCCTGCACAATTCCCTATCTAAAGTAGAGAAATCTCCACCCATCTGAGCATAATAGCTTCCTTCTGAATTATCTGAGCTGTTGGCAAATTAGAAACCCTCCTTGATATTCCCACTGAGAATGAAGAAGTGTTTCCTTGGGTCTCTCCAGCCTTCTTAGTGTATCTGCTCTTTGGGGGCCATTTCTTACCCCGAGGGAACTGGCTGGTTACACAGCGAAACAAAGAGGAGGTGGGGTGGCTAGCTACTTTCAGGTTCTTGGTCCTTCTGAGGAGTAGCACTTGCTGGAAATACTCACTTTCTGTTGAAGGGATGGGGTCTCATGGACACACAGGGAGTCCTTATTTGATAGCTGCTGTTCTGACCAAATGCTTGTGTGTGTTTGATGGTTTGAAAACTGTAGGCTTCGCTGATACAAACAAGTCCATCGCTTTACACAGGCAGTGATTTAGTGTTACATAACCCAATCCCACACATTTGTTCCGTTGCCCAAGACTTGGGTTATAGGTGCCTGGAAGGAAGATGCCCAGTTCCCTTTTATACACACAGGGGCAATTCTTGGAGACTGCCTTTTGATGGAGAGCACATCAAAATGCCCTCTTCCTCCAGGAGGCATGAATACATTCCTCTGTGAATAGCACTGGAATCGTGTCTTCACCACTGGCATTAATCCCTATCTGTGAAATTCTTTGCCTCATCCTAGAGAAGGAAGGCAATGAGTTCTCATGCAATTAGTATAGCCCTGGGAATAGGGTTGTCTGGGTTTGCAGAGGTTGGTATGGTAGGCTAGCCACATGGCCCTGAACATGTGCCTGCCTGGTGACCATGACTTGCTCTTGTCCAAAGGTGAGCTGTGCTTTGTGGTGTGTGTGTTGGGGGTGGGGGCTGGCAGCACACACTTCTTAGCTGTGACATTAATTACAAAAGGAAAAACTGATTCTGTGCCCCATTTCCCTCAGGTCTTGTGCAAGCTGATAAACAGTTTATACCCACCAGGACAAGAGCCCATCCCCAAGATCTCAGAGTCAAAGATGGCTTTTAAGCAGATGGAGCAAATCTCTCAGTTTCTAAAAGCTGCAGAGATCTACGGCGTCAGAACCACTGATATTTTCCAGACTGTGGACCTTTGGGAAGGTAAACAGCCCTTTCTGCCTTTGGATCTGTTCTCCCTTCACCCTACTCCTCCCTTTTGCCCAGCTTTCTGTGGTCTTCCCTGTGCCTGAGGGAGGATGGAGAGTGGTCTTATCCATCTTCTGAGCCACTGTTAGCCTCCCTGCTTTGTGATAGGTGCTCTCCTGTCCTGGACCACACACCCTGAGGAGGCTGCAAGGACCTCAGCAAAATCCTGTGTAAACAGAAGTCTCTACAGAGAGGCACCTCAGAGGGTGACGTGGATGCCTTTTCTTCCTGTTACCCTCCTATGACAAATCACTGCTCTTGGAAGGGAGGCAGGGGCAAGCGCTTCTGACTCACTAGCAGCAGGCTTGTAGACAAAAGCCTCTGGTGCTGTTTTGTCATTCAATCGGAGAAGAAAGCTGTGCTCCAACGCTTTATGGAACAATTATTAGAGAGCTTGGTGACTATACCTTTCAAATAGGTATTCTGCTCAAAGAGTTTGAGAATTGATTTTTTTTAATTTCACATTTGCAAAATGACTGGGTAAGGAAATCTTATAAAAGTAAAAATCAAATCACATTCCTGGGCATGCTTAATAATCCACCATTTTTGAGGAGAATGTGAATGTAGATTCTACCTAGGAATTTGGAACTTAAGGCCATGGGGTCTGTTGTCCTTTATTGAAAATATGTACATCTCCCATGCAGCTGTGTCCTGTCTGGACTATGCCTTCCTGAGGCACTGAGAGACAGACCAGTCTGAGCAAGACTGCTGGATTGACTCACGTGTTCATTGTCACTGGCTGTCGTTTTAGCCTAACCAATAGGATCTCTAGGGCCATGACCCAGATGGCTCTCTGACAGGGAAAATGGGGTAACATTCCTCTAGATAGTTGAATTAGATTTCTGATAGAGGACCACTCCACCAAGCAAATTACAAAGAAACAATTGCCTCATTAATCCTCTGCATCCTACAGGGAGCTACCATTCATATTTCCCTCACAATGAGTAAAATCCTAGGACCCCAAGATGTTTACCTTGGTTTTTAGAACTTTGATATCTAAACTTTCAGCCTGTCCCATTGGGCTTCATGGACACTTGCTTCCTAATTCTCATGTGATGCTATAGTCAGTGTGTCCTTCATCAAAACTAGAAGGCTTCTCCTCAGTTGAGACAGCTATGACTTAATGATATTCTTCTGGATATTGGGTAGGTGCTTTGCTGCATAATGCCAATGATTTCTTCTGTCAAAGCTTTGAGATGTTTTTAATTTCTCCATTTTGTAGATAATGAAGATTGTTTATGGTTATGTATATTCACCAGAGACCTGACAAAACAGCCAGGACTCAAACCTGGGTGCTCTGGTGCCAAGGAATAGGACTTAGCTACACTACACCATTATCTGGGCAGGAATCTTAGTCTCCATCACCTACAGCATGAGTCATAATAGTGACTAGCTGATGATGCTGAGGAGGAGGAGGATGAGGAGGTTGAAGCAAGGCTGTGTGGGACTGAAAGGTGGAGTGTTGCTGTGAATGAAAAGGACCCTGTGAGAGCTAAGGAAAGGAAGTTTGGCGGAGGAAGAAGAGACTGGGAAGTCTAAGTGGTGGGATCCTGAGGGAGCTCTCCTGTCTTTACATTGTTGAAGAGGCTTTATGTCCTCTCCCTCTTCCCCCACAATCCCGAGGGCGAACTTTACACCTGGGAGGTAACTGCAGCAAGCAGCAGGGAGGGCTGTGCTGACCAGTGTTTCTGGGGGCCACACAGTACATGAAGTCCACACCACCCACTGTGGCCCTGTGCATTGGATTCTCCCTAACACAGAGAAAAGATAGGAGGCCGGAGTGTGATCACAGTAGGGTGCGATAGGGCCATGGACCGGCCGGCTCAAAGGGAGGATAATACTTCCAGAAAAGAATGAGACAGACACTGAGGTTTCCATCCCCAGCAGATAAGCAGGGTAAGACTAAGGGAGGAAAAGAAGGATGATTCCAAAGGTACTGTGACTGACATAAAGGAATCTAGGTAGACTGTGGACTAAATAGGAACTGGCAATAGGGAAGCAGAGCCTTTGACATTTTCAAAGGATCCCTGGAGGCCCCAAGGAAGACTGAGGTTCTGGGGCTTCCTTATGAGTTGGATGTGACACGTAATTTCTCAGGATCATTGTCTGAAGCTCAAGACAGAACTGGATTACATGCTATGAAGCAGGAAGCAGGAGCTTATTCTTTTTAATTAATCAATTAATTAATTGTTAAGCAGAGATGTGGAGAGCATTAGACAAGTGGTGTGGAACCATGGCCTGAGCAAATAAAGCCAGGGTTCTTTCTGAAAGAGCTAGCAGGAACTGGTCAGTTTTCTTTCCACAAGGCAGGGGTCCTTTCTACACTAACTGACTGATTGTAAGTTGGGAATGGCTAAGCCAGACTCAGAGGGGTGCAGCAGGGAGGGATGGCACATGCTGAGGCGTCTGTGGCTGTGTGAGGGCAGCCAGTTCATGTACACAGCTGTAGGACCAACCATTTGCATAGCATAGCCCCGCAGCCCCCATATAAGTCTGCTCCCTGCCTCAGATATTCGTGCTATCACAGCTCAGTCAACTCACATCGATTCCTGATTTACTGGGCCCGAGCTGTGCAGACTGTGGCTGTTGTGGTCCAGCCCCCCTTTCCTGGGATGTGTCTCCCTTCTCTGCAGTTATTTCAGGCTTCCCTGGTCTCAGTCTCCCTTGCCCTCCCTGGCTTTTACAGACGCTTTTCGTCTTCTCTGCAATTAGTTACATAGACAGGGACCCCTGTGGCCCCCACTGTCTCTAAACCCTTTTGAGATCAAATGTTTAGAATGGACTTGGGGGCAATGAGAAACAAGCTTTTTCAAAAAGAAATCCACACTAAGAAGAATATATGCAGTGTATTATTTGTTGAAACTGGACTTCCGATTTGATTTGAAACTGTCTCATTGCCATCTGTTTATCAATAAAACTTTGAAAAAAAAAGAAATTGCATAGAAAAAAAAAAAAAAGAAATTCAAGGCTGAATGTTGTAGACAAAGCTAGGAAAGGCACCCTCCTAGGAATGGCTGGGGTGGTGTCTAGGCCTTTCAGAGATGGAAAGGACGTGAACACAGACTAAAGGAAGTAGATCTTTGGGTGAAAGAAGGTGAATGGCAGGTTCTTTTTGAGTTTGCCATGGTTCCTGTCTGTGACTCAGGAGAAGAGTGCACTCTAGCTAAGACTTGAAAATCTTTTCTAGGAAAAGACAGGGAAAAGGGAAGAAAAGAACAAGAAAAGGAAGTGTGTTGGTGTAGTTAGGGGTGTGAATGTGTAAGAGAGAGAAATAGGAGTACATTTCTGGCCACTGTTCTAGCCTGTGGTCAGGAGGATGCAGTGAACGCTTATTCCAGGTGGTGTAGCATCCCACAGCTCTGGAGTCGGGAGCTTCTTTTCGCCTGCTTCACACTTGTCCACCACCACTTAGCAATTAGCTTCTCTAGGCCTTGATTGGGAATAAAATGGGAATGATAGTACCTGTTTCATGGGATTAATATGGAGAACAAATGACATCATTCATCGAGAGTGCTGAGAGTAGTGCCTGGCAAAATAGAGCAAGGTAAAGTCGTTCCGGTCTTGACCTGTCCTCTCTACGAGTAATCCAAAATGAAGGAGAAACAAAGCTGGAAAGGCGTACATTCTTCCTAAAACCCGTGGGCTTAATGGCCACACGCAGACGCTAAGGGGGACACCCAGAGGACTTTTGGCCTCTCTGCCATCTGTGGGCTTTCTGCCCATCCCCTCACCCATTCTCCAATAGAATGGGGCTAGCTTTTCACTCACTTTATTGACTTTTTTTCACTTACTGGTCATTGCCTCTTTGATCTGTTCCTCTATTATATATGGCTTTGCCAATTTCAGGCTGAAGCACCCTGGTATAATGGAGTTTGGAGTGAAGTAGACAGGTTGAGAGCCTTTTTAGAAGCATACTTTTTTTGACCTTGTAAATTACTTAGCTTTTTAGAACCTCAGTTCTCTTCTCTATAAGCTGGCCTAACATTCAGTCATAGGGTTTCTTATGGGATTAAATTATAAAATGCTTAGTGCAATGCCTGGCTACTAGACACCTAATAACTGCTGGGGTTTTTATCCCTACTATTAGCCCATCAGCAGCTGACCTTTTGGGTTTATTTCTATAACCACTTGGTGGGTATAAAGCATAAAAACATTCTAGAAGGTCAAAGCAAACAAGACTGAAAGATCAATGATCTAATTATTCTCAGCAATTTGACAAGGATCCTGGACATGGAGCTTGTGGATGTCTGCTTCACTCTCTTGACTGAGAGTTCAGGAGAGGAGGTGTGGCTTACATTGCGAGTGGAAAGCCTGAAAAGCTCAAATATACTATCTGGGGAAGTGTCACTAGATGTGCCATTCTTCAACAGCAGAAGAGAAGAAACCTTTCACCCATGTGAGAGATATTTTGGGATTTCTCAAGGGAGCTGCAGAGACTTGGGGTGTAACAAATACCTGCTGTTTGAAGCCTCCTTTTCTGTTGGAGCAGCTTTCATTGCCTTTACTGTGGTGGCTGTGATAATTATAATTGCTGGGGTTTTCCTTCAGAAGTGGTTCTCAAACTCAGGCATTCATTGGAATCACTTGGTCAGTCGGTTAAACACAGATTTCTAGGTCACAACCCCAGAGTTTCTCAGGTAGTAAGTCTTCAGCAAGGCCCAAGAATTTGTATTTCTTGACAACTCACTGGTAACACTGCTTCTGCTGGCCTGGGAATCCAACTTGGAGAACTACTGCCCTGTGCACTGTTACTTTCCCCCAACACAAATTCATAAATCCTGCGGAGCAAAGACAACTTACTTTTTGACATTTCTTTATTGACTACAGCACTATGTTTTCATCTTTGAGTAGAGTCAGGGGCTGTGCCTAAGTTATTCTTGAGGGAAAGTAATAAAATTAAGAGAACAAAATTCTTGTTGAAGTGTCTTTACATTAATAGTGCTCCCACTTTACTAGTGTAAAATTGGGCCACTATAGTAAGGGATCCCTGGCCCCACGCCCCAGGTATGGTAGCTTAGTACTTGGGGTCTATGGCCACATTTGGGGTGACATTGCTTGGTAATAGTCTAGGAAACAGGCACCATTTTATGGTCAAATCAAGGCATCCATTGCCACCTGACACTCACAGTAATGACGAACCTTTTAAAGATTTCAGTGCTACAGCCTGCTGGGGCATGTGTGCCATAGATTCACCACCACTGTGCTAGGGCTTCCTAGCTAAGACAGAGAGCCACCAGCTTTTTTTATTTTGTGTTTGTAAGACTTTTTTTTTTTTAAATTAATTTGAGGTCTAAAGCAACATTAACAGACAGATACAGATTTTTCCCACCTTCCCTCTGTCCCAGCACATGCTTAGCCTGCCCGCTGCAATATTCCCTACCAGAGTTGTAAGCGATAAGCTTATGTTACCACCTCAGTATCACTCAAAGACAGCAGTCTCCCTCTTGCCATCTAGATACATTCTAAGGTTTGGATAAATATATATAATGAGGTATATCCACTCCTGTGGCATCACAGAGAATTTTCACCACTTTAAAAATCTTTTGTTTCTCACCTTTTCATTCCTCACCATCCCCAACCCTGATTTTTTTTTTTTTTTTTTTAACTGTCTCCCTAGGGTTGCCTTTTCTTGTGTCATGTGGTTGGAACGATGCATCATCTAGCCTTTCCTGATTCTACTCTACGAGCTCCTTTAAAATGTTAATCTAGAATTACCTTCTGCCCATGTTAGGTGGCTAGAAGAGTCTAACAGCTTGGTGTTAACATCCTGAGTGATAGCGTAAACTTGCTTCTCTTCTTTCCTTTCATTTTCCTTTTAGGGTCCATGGTCTATTGCTAGGTCACCCTGAGCTTAGTCTCACTCTGCTCTGCCTGCTTCTAGAAAATTCTCAACACTGGATTGGTCCTTCTTTTGGCACTATTTTTTTGTTTTCTTTTCTTGGAAGAACAGCATTGAGCAGTGATACTCGGGCTGGCTTGAAGAGCCACAGGCACCCACCAAAGTACCAAGAGTAGCTGTCAGGAGGCAGAGTGATTCCAAGCTGCCAGGGCTCTGGGCTGACTTCCAACTTGGATCAAAGCCCTTCTAATGACTGGTTTTACTTTTTGACTTTGTGAAAGATATATCTGAAGGAAGAACTTATTGCTTAATAGATATTACTTAGTACTCGCCATATGCCAGATACTGTGATGTTTTAAAAAATGGGAAACCAAAGTATGAGATCAGCATTTGCCTGTCCATCTGTTTGTATCAGAATCATCCCAAGAGACTGCTCATAATCTGAATATTTAAGATGCTCAGGGAATTCTGATGATTAATTTATTTCAGAAAGTCACCAGGTTGCCCTAGTGGTTTAAGTCATATGGGGAGCTTATGAAAAACATAGACCCCCCCAGGACTTGTCAAATAAAGTGTAAATCATAAAATACAGTGTATATTTAAATTTTAGAAAATTTATTACAGTAAGAGACACCTCACCATTAATACATTAAGGCCCTCAAAAGACTCCTTTTGAACACACTCGTCCCATCATTTGTGCCACTTTCTGAAGTCTATCTGGAAGTCCTCTTCCATGAAGGTCCTTGTAAAGTGTGATCAAAAGTATGGTGATTTCTGCTGCCACATGCCATGCAACCAAGAAGCAGACTTGTAAAGACATCATGGTGTGTCCTCTTCCATTTTATTTGCTGGATCTGACACTAAGCAACTTCTGGATCTTTCTGAAAACCACAGTGATCATGAAAAGTAAACAAGTTGAATCTATTCTAGACATGGGGGCAGTCTTAACATCACAACTAAAGACGCTCACAAAGGGGAACGTCCACAACTGCTTTAGAAAGTAGCAAAGACTGATGGGATAAGTGTGTTCAAAGAAAGAGTGTTTGAGGGGAGTTATTGGCAATGTATCTTTTATTGTAATAAATTATAGCAATTTAAGTAGTCTCCATATTGTTTTGACCACGCTGTGCAAGTATCACAGGAGAATGATCTCAAAATTCATATATTTATTTTTTTTTGGGGGGGGGGCAGAACCAGGGATTGAACTCAGGCCTTGTGCTTGCCAGGGAAGCACTTATTCCACTGAGCCATCTCTCCAGCCCCAAAATTCATATTTTTAAAATGATGACCCCACACATATCCCATCTAAAGGCCAATAAGTTTGAGAAATTGCTCTAAAGCAGATGGTGTCTGGCTATTTTGTATATTTGCACAACTGAAGGCTTCATAACAAGACAGATATTATATGTGCAATACAAGCAGTTTAACTTGTATTATTTTACACTCGCGACAGTTTATAGATCTTTCTTAATTTCACTGCTTCTTTCTGCACTTAAATTTTTGATGCCTCATTATGGGAGTCAGCTTTCGCAAGCTGATTCTGTCCACATGCCTCTTTCATCTCATGTAAGTGCTTGATCTGAAGTTCTGAACTGGGAAGAGAGGTCAGGCTGGAAAATTATCCTCTTCCTGTTTCATCAGCCCAAGAATGTAGGGAATTTGTTTTGTAAAACATACCATACAAGACAAAGAATATGAACTAGACATAAACTGGTTACAGACCAGTTATTACTGGTCCCAGTGCTATTTGAAGTCTTGACAGTAGTTCATGTGGTCATCACACTGCCCCCAACTACTTACCTCTGTGTTAATCTTAAGTGAAGATGCATCACAATTATTTCCATAAGTAGCTAGCCAGGGTACATAGTCCATAAAAGGAGTGGTAAAGGAAACACCTACATACCTTCCTAAAAGGTATGATCATGTATGTAGGTGTTTCCTTTACCACTCATTTTAGATGAGAATGGGAGTGGTATTGAAAATTCTAGGTTCCCAAACATTTTACTCTTGCCTGTAACTTCTTTCTTTCTGGGTTTATGGACTATGTACCCTGGCTAGCTACTTATGGAAGAAGATGTAGTTTAACAAAGTTTACATTTTCCCATTGCTCTAGGGTAATAGCTGTGGCTGAGTTGCTGGATGCCAGGCTCCACATTTCCTTAGATCCTGCCTGTTTCGGCCCTGCTTTTCCCAGCCACCAGAAACAGACTTCCTGTGACTTCTTTGCAGAGTCCAGATGATGGGTTTATCCTCATCTAAGTCTTCCTGTGCTTAATCATTGTTCCAAATTCTCTTTAATGGCTTACTGCTTAAGAGGCGTCATTTGTAAGCATCCTGTCATATAGCATCCTGTCATATGGACAAAATGCTTTGTCCATAGAAAAGAAGGGTCAGTCTAACAACCACTTTTGCATTTCCCCTCTCCTCATTCTTAGCATTCCTTGTACCCTCCCTCTTCCATGTGCTGTCCAGATACTTCACCCTTCAGCATCCTCATAGTTCCTTGACTCTGGAAGACTCCATTGGAAGCATTTTGTGCCTGAGTCCATCATCCGATCCCATGGGGTCTTGGGTTCAAGCCAGACACTCTGTGGTTATTTTGGAAGGTGGAGTTGGGGAAGAACAGCAAGGGAAGGAGGACCTGCTTTCTTGCTCTCTCTTCTTCAAATAAATGGATATCCTGAGCTGCACTTCCTTTGAGAGTCTTAATTGTTCATTTGATTCCAGTTTATGCTCCATTCTCACTTTCCATCTGCCTTTCTCCTCATGGGCCTGTACTCCCCAGTAGCTGAGGCACAGCAACTGGGCCACAGAAGCCAGAAATGACTCCCTCTGTCTGGAGAGCTTCTTCATATTTGCCCTTAACGTTCATACCTCCCACTGGGCCGAAGGCTCCTTTCCTTTCCAACTCCAAGCCTTCAGCTTCTGCGTTGCACTGTGCACACTGCCTGCACAGCCTTCTGCCCTGCTTCTTGGTTGCAGGCTGCCTGCTCAGTAACATCTTTCCTTCTCAGTTTAGCACATGCTCATCACCTGAAGGAGGAGGGAGCAAGCAAGAAAGGGTAGGCTAGCTTTAGGACACATCTGCATTGTCCGTGGGCTTCCTCTGGTGACAGCACAGCCCCTCCCAGTGCAGGAGCAGGAGGGCCGAATCTTACATCTCTTTGCTCTCTTCCCTCTCTTGTGAACCAGTGATTTATTGTCTCCATTTAGCTCTTTTGTGCTGCTCAAGATAAAGAGCCTTTCAACCGTGTCACATTGGTGCATTCTGTGTTGATTTGCTACTCTTCACTTGCCAGGCTTCTGGCCCAAGGAGCCAAGTGAATACTCAATTTGATGAACTTGGATGATTTTAGACCCTTTTAACCCACATAAAGTAAGAGAGAGGAGCCACCTGGAGTTTGGCACACAATTATTCCATCCAACCAATTTTGCTGAAGTTTCCTTTTCTCTTTCTGTTCTGCTTTCTTGAGGAATGTGGTCTTCTGCAGACCACCAGGCCACCCCTGCCTTTACCCAGCTGGCCCAATCCACCAAGTCAGTGTCCTCTGTGTAGGCAGGGCCCCGTCTGTATCTAAGCAGCATGTATTTTGAATGCTTATTTGTGCAGTTACTATGAATAGACTAGGAAGGTAACTCTGATAGAGAATAATTAATGAGGATGTATTCTGTCCTTTTTTTTTTTTTTTTTTTGAGCAGTTTTGGTCTGGTCATGTTAGGGGTTCTCTGGGAAGAGTTTGATAGCACCTCCCCCTTGAATGTGGTCACCTATCTCAGATTCTCTCCTGAGTGCCCAGGCGTATCCTTCCAGAATTCCTTGGTATGATACACAATTTGCTTTCCTCTCTTCACTGGTTTCCAGGGAAGGATATGGCAGCTGTGCAGAGGACCCTGATGGCCCTAGGCAGTGTCGCAGTCACGAAGGACGATGGCTGTTACCGGGGAGAGCCATCCTGGTTCCACAGGTAAAAGACCTTTCCCTACATTGTGAGGCAGTCAGAGAGGGTGTGGGGCTTGGGAGTCTCCCAGAGGCTGTTCCATACAGAGCTCCAAGCAAGCATTCTTGGCCCACCACCGAGTCTCCTACAGCAAGGACAGACTGAGGTGGCCTCCCAGGCCGCACCCTACCCAGGGCAGCAGCAGTTGGCCCTTCGCTTTTTCTCTCTGAGCTGGATCCTCCTGCTGTCAGGTCCTCCCATGAGGCTTAGCAACAAATATGGCTCTTTTCAGAAACACTCAATGATTTAGTGTCTGTATTTGATTTTATTGTGACTCAAACTGCCCTGAGTCTTCCTTTTTTCTCTGTTCTGTTCCTATTTGCTTCTTTTTCTTCTTTCTATAATTTTTTATACTTAATGAAAGTTAAATATGTCCTGTTTCCCAGGCCCAATCGCATGAATACCAGTCCCAGTTAATACCTGTTGCTCTAGCATGCTGATTAATAATAGCTTTTTTTACTCTCAAGAGTGTCCTAACCTGAATAATAAATTCTATGATTACTACAGTTTGGTAAAAAGGCCTTTTCCTGGCTGGGGAGATAGCTTAGCTGTCCAAGTGCCTGCCTGGCAAGCACAAGTACCTGGGTTCAATCCCCAGTACAGCATGCTGTGCCGGCATGGGCCACTGAAACAGCATGCGAGTGCATGCCTGTAGTCTCAGTGCTGGGGGTGCTGAGACAGGAGGATCACGATGAGTCCAAGCTGCATAGTGAGACCCTGTACCAAATAAGTAAATACATAAAAATTTTTAAAATATTTTTAAAAGGTCTTTTGCTATATTTTTTCTACTGACGTGATTGAGGGAAGGCAGACAGGAAAAGTAGGAAGTGCAAATGGGCAGCTTGGGTGTAGATGAAGAGAAAATAAGACCTTGTTGCAGGTCATTTATTTCCCAGATCCTTTTTCCTTGTCCTTGAGAGGATGTGTCATTTGAAGGGGCATTTGTCTGAAAATTTAGATATTGATGTATTGAAACTCTGGCTTTAGTCCAAGCATTATTTGTGATCTACCATGGCCTGTTTGCCTTTAGTTCCAAACTTTCTAACTATTTGGCTCTTCACCAACTTGCAGATCTCTGATTTAGAGTAAGACATTTTCTCTCATTAACCACTAGGTCGCTCAGCTCTAAAATGGAATATGGATCCTTGACTCTGTACAAGCAATGTGGGATGGGATCCGTGGCATGCTTTGTAAGATGACCACGATAACTTTTACAAGGGTTTGAGGCGACTGAGCAAGAGGATGAGAAGATGCAGACTGAGATGGCCTAAGATGGTAGAAGATGAAAAAAAAGTCTGGAGAGGGACAAAGAGGGGAAGTTTAGTTGGAATCCCACCCCAACCCAGATCCCTCTGTGAATCCTCTTTTCTTCTTTGCTGGAAATGTTCACAAACATCTAGGCTTCTAAGACACAGGGAGCTCAGGCATCATGGTAGGTCCTGCTCACTGCACGGCCACAGTTAGTGGTTCACTGTAGTTCAGGACGGGCCGTAGCTCAGGATGGGAATACTGGTCCAGGTAGGGTCACTGCTCACGGCTGGCCTACTGGTCTACTGGCGAGCCAAGGTAGAGCCTGTCTAGCTGCATAGTTAAGAAGGGTTTGAAAACAAATATGACATTATTCCCTCTCACTCTGCCTGCCAGGAAAGCCCAACAGAACCGGAGAGGATTTTCAGAAGAGCAGCTCCGCCAAGGACAGAACGTAATCGGCCTGCAGATGGGCAGCAACAAAGGAGCCTCACAGGCAGGCATGACCGGGTACGGGATGCCCAGGCAGATCATGTAAGATGCTGCAGATCATGTAAGATGCTGCATCCTGCCCCCATTAGACAGGGTGAATGTTCCACGCCACAGTAGTCGCCTGACCTCCTCTTTCTCAAAGCCTTCTGTCCCTGGTTTTCTCAAAGTGCTGCATTTCTGCTGAGAACCCATGTTGCCTACTGCTGCCACCTTCTGTTCATTTAGAACTATGCAAAGACTCCGCCACCTTCCTGAGCTCTTCTGTGCCCCAGAGTCTCATTTGATTATTTATTTATTTATTTATTTGCCAAAAATTGCCCTTCTCAACGTATAGAACACACCTAATAAACAGATTAGCCTCATGTCTTAAAATGTGAAGCTTGTTCCTTGTCTTATGGACCCCACGGGGTTCTCACTCAAGAAGCCCAAAGCCAGGTACAGAGGTACAAGTGCAGTTCTAACACTCTGGGAGGCTGATGCAGGAGGGTTGCAAGTTCAAGCCCAGCATAGACATTTAGCAATGTAGAGAAACTTTGTTTCAAAATAAAGAATAAAATCTAGGTCAGAGTATAGTTAGTGTAAACATTCTGGGTTGAATCCCCAGTTCAAAAAGCATTCCCCCAGAGCTAGGTGCGGTGGCTCATACCTGTAAACTCAGCTCTCAGAAGGCCAGCTTGAGGTACACTGCAAGTACAAGGCCAACCTGGAATATATATAATGAGTTTGTTTCAGAAACCCAAAACTAACCAAAGAGAAACACAAACTCAAACAAACACACAAAAGAAAACCTCACAAAACAGAATTAAGCTTAGTTTGTGGAAATGTAAGTTATCTGAGAGGAAGCTTTCCATTATAATGTTGACCTTGGTGAGTGCAGTAGAACATTCAGGAATAGTCTGCCCACTAAAGAGCTTAAAGTTATGGTTTAAGAACAGTCTTTGAGGGGCCTGGCCTTAGCTCAGTTGTTTAAGTGGCTGCTTCCACAAAGCTGTCAGCCTCAGGTTGCTGTAGTTCGATCCCCACAACACTAGAGCCAGCCAAACCACCCCTGAGGGCATTCGGAGCAAAAAAAAAAAAAAAAAAAAAAGAACAGTCTTTGACCTCCACATGTGTTTTGACTGTCTGATTTGAACTTGCTGTGCTTAGTTTTCAAGAGAACACTGGAACAAGCAAGTCAAAGCACAAGATCTTAAGGAGCATTTGCATAGATGCCCAAGAAATGTCTGCCATATCTGATGAATGGTTGAGTGGATAGAGAAATGGATGCATGGATTGGTGAATGGATAGATGGTTATACTGAATGATGAGTTGGTGGATGATTGCATAAATGGGCGCTTTTCACCTTAACATTAATATAGTTCTTACGTCCCAGACCTTGGGTTTGATGCTGACATTTATATAATATCTCTTTATCAACCAAGAGTTATATATTATGGAGTTTGCTCTCCTAAAGACTTTATAGGATCTAAACCCACAATACTCTTGAGTATTGCCTAAGATTGAGATCTGCCTAAAATAGGTAGTTTTTAAAGTGTTGTAATGGGCAGAAAAATAAGGAGGGCAAATAAGCCTAGGGACTATCAATCATCTTTTTTATTTTTAATAATTTTTAAAAAAACAATGCATTTAGTAAGAAAAGAAGGCTTTCTCTATATAGTAGATTATTAATTAACGAGGAAAGCTAAAATAAAAGATTATAGATGTTGTCACACTCAATGTTTAGGTGTTCATTTTTCAGATGGTTTTCTTTGCTGGGATTCTGGGATTCTTCAGAGAATTCCTTCTTCAAATACTTTGTACACATACCTCTTCACATGATAGTGACCCTTTGATAGCCATTGGTGAACTGTCCAAGATGATACCCAAACATGGCAGCTGAATTCTTCCCTCAAATCCTTCCTTAGAGTTACCTCAGAAGAGAAGGAGGTTGAAGGGTATCTTAAAGTGAAAGAAAACTGAGTGGGAATTGCTTGAGAGGGAGAGGTGGTAGGTACCCATTTGGAATCAGGTAAAAGTAGCCTCCATCAGGGAGGAGTTGGAGCAGGTTTGAAGAGAACACTCAGGTGATGCCTTGTTCTGTCATCCACACTACTGTGGCTCCATTGTGTTGCAAGAGACACTGAGAGGCAGGAAAACAGCAAAATCAGCTGAGTGGTAGGAGGAAGCAGTCTGCCCAGAACAGAGCAATATTGGAATCCAGCTGGAGGGAGGAGCAGGTTATAAGAACGTTGGCAGATTTGTCAGCCCCTGAGATTCCCCTTTTCCAACTTTGTTTTCACTGTTAAGGTCATGCTCACAGGAAACAACTAAAGACCCTTGAGGGGTGTAAATGTTCATAGCAGATAGAATAATCATTTAGAATTAGTCTAATGCATATACTAAGTTAGGCAAGGGAGTAGTTTGCAACATGAAGCAAAACTCCAGTCCATTGCGAAGGAGAAAATCAATTGGATACAAAACATCCACAAAAATGAAGTGAGGACCAGCCAGACAGCTAAGCAGACTAAAGCGCCTGCTTAGGCAGGTTCAGGAACTGGGGTTCGATCCCTGGCCTGTGGTGTGGGCCCTGCCGCCCAGGCATGCTGAGACGGTGATGGAGACTGGGCTTGGTGGTGTGCCTGTAATCCCAGAAGAGGATCGCTAGAGTCCAGTCTGTGTAGTGAGAACCTGTAGACCCTGTAGACTAAATACATTAAAATAATGAAATGAACGAAATCAGCATTGACAGGAGAATTGATGCAAAGAGGAAATTAGAAAATTTTAATACCAAGACAAGGTACTCTATAAAGAATAATCGGTACAAATAGTTGGTAAGAACATAAGAAACATTAAAAAAATAGGAGTCATTAATTATTTAATTGGAATTGTAGATGGAGAGGAAAAATCATTTAGGGGAGGGAAAATTTGAAGGAATAGTTGTGAGTCTTTCCCAGAAAGTA